CTGATCGATCTGGCGTTATTTTAGTCTCTTACAAGTCAAAATTTTTCTAGGCGATGAGGGGGAATGCCACACCCCTTCAAACCCCCCAAAACAGAAGGGGGCATACCCCCTTCTAGCAACCCCCTGATGTATCTTTTGGTTGCGCCGAAAAAGTGGATGGGTTTACAACGAATATATATAATAAGGATATTCATACCTGATGGGGCAGCATTAATCAATAATTTATTCCTGAACTTACAAACATTTTTTATCATTTCCTACATACAAATAATTCATTATCAGATGACTGAACAAATGGAAATTCACCGAGTAGAAAAAATGCGCCGTACGTTATAAATGATATTATGTGCGCCATACGTTATCATTTTCGAGAATGCCCCAATATGAATATTTACTTAGATGACGACCAACTACAACTATCTAAAGTCAGTGGTTTCAGTTAATATACATATTCGTAAAAGAAACAATAAATTTGAGATAAGAAGCCGTACGTTATTAAGATCAAACAAATGGAAAATTATCTCGCTTCGATTCTAGTGACGCGCATTTCAAAAGAAGTACGGGACGAAATATCATGAAATAAAATCCTGTGTGTCCGGAAAATTGTGGAGAAGGTTATTATATATACTTTTACACAAAAACATCACGAATTTCAGATAAGTAAAGGAAAAAACTTACTTTTCGGCTGCATCCAACATCTTGTTTGTTTGGGTAACGAACGGCATGATTCTCCCCCTTGAAAGTGGTTCTATAAAATAGATAAACACAGAATCCCTAAAGAAAGCCAAACACGGTAAAATTGAAAATGTTGCAGGCTCGGTTTGATTGAGCCTGTTCATGGACGGTACTGGAAAGTGCAAGTTACCGTCCACGTCCCCTAGCACCGGCTTAAGCAGAATTCAACATTTAACATGAACTGGTAAAATTTAGAATTTTGAAACATCCGCAGATGTGTTCATATGGCGGTTATCATGGAACCTTCAATGTGACACGTTAGTGCCATTCCATGAAAAGCGTCATATGGTCCCCATTTAAAAAAATGCGTGTGCCCTAAACGAGAAAACAATGGGCGGAACTAAATAAAATGGAATTTTGAAAGGGGATCTGAGGTTATGAAGCCTGCATATCACAGATATAACGTCAAAAGACAAATCTAAAGAGCAGGCAACATATCCTAAGGGTGATTCAACATTATTCAAGTAGGAATATTGGAACCACCCAACTAGAAAATGCCGAAAGGTTGAAACTAAAAGTACCACAAGCACAACAATAATGTCGTGCTGAACGATCTTCAAGGATCGAAAATATAACATCGTTGATTAAATGTACGGGGAGACTTTTTACAGCCGCCACACGGCACAAATAACACGGATGTGATCATAAAATAGATAAACACAGAATCCCTAAAGAAAGCCCAACACGGCAAAATTGAAAATGGTGCAGGCTCGGTTTGATTGAGCCTGTTCATGGACGGTACTGGAAAGTGCAAGTTACCGTCCACGCCCCCTAGCACCGGCTTAAGCAGAATTCAACATTTAACATGAACTGGTAAAATTTAGAATTTTGAAACATCCGCATATGTGTTCATATGGCGGTTATCATGAAACCTTCAATGTGACACGATAGTGCCATTCCATGAAAAGCGGCATATGGTCCCCATTCAAAAAATTGCGTGTGCCCTAAACGAGAAAACAATGGGCGGAACTAAATAAAATGGAATTTTGAAAGGGGATCTGAGGTTATGAAGCCTGCATATCACAGATATAACGTCAAAAGACAAATTTAAAAAGCAGGCAACATATCCTAAGGGTGATTCAACATTATTCAAGTAGGAATATTGGAACCACCCAACTAGAAAATGCCGAAAGGTTGAAACTAAAAGTACGGCAAGCACAAAAATAATGTCGTGATGAACGATCTTCAAGGATCGAAAATATAACATCGTTGATTAAATGCACGGGGAGACTTTTTACAGCCACCACACGGCACAAATAACACGGATGTGATCATAAAATAGATAAACACAGAATCCCTAAAGAAAGCCCAACACGGTAAAATTGAAAATGTTGCAGGCTCGGTTTGATTGAGCCTGTTCATGGACGGTACTGGAAAGTGCAAGTTACCGTCCACGCCCCCTAGCACCGGCTTAAGCAGAATTCAACATATAACATGGACTGGTAAAATTTAGAATTTTGAAACATCCGCAGATGTGTTCATATGGCGGTTATCATGGAACCTTCAATGTGACACGTTAGTGCCATTCCATGAAAAGCGGCATATGGTCCCCATTTAAAAAAATGCGTGTGCCCTAAACGAGAACACAATGAGCGGAACTAAATAAAATGGAATTTTGAAAAGGGATCTGAGGTTATGAAGGCTGCATATCACAGATATAACGTCAAAAGACAAATCTAAAAAGCAGGCAACATATCCTAAGGGTGATTCAACATTATTCAAGTAGGAATATTGGAACCAACCAACTAGAAAATGCCGAAAGGTTGAAACTAAAAGTACCACAAGCACAACAATAATGTCGTGCTGAACGATCTTCAAGGATCGAAAATATAACATCGTTGATTAAATGTACGGGGAGACTTTTTACAGCCGCCACACGGCACAAATAACACGGATGTGATCATAAAATAGATAAACACTAATAGATAACCAGCTTGACTAAATTTCAGAATTACTTATTTACCTTACGTAGATCTGATGACGACCGATTGTTTCGCCTTTTCTATAATTCGGATTTCCCGAGAAAGCTATTTTTAGTGATGAAATCAAGCCGGATTTAACATAGACATAAGAAAAAGTATCAAAATACCGTGGAAGTTTAACAAATTGTTGATTTTTGTTAGAAAAAAATGTTTGAAGTACAAATTACTTGAAAAAAATAGTCAATTTTTTTCAGGGTAAAACGACTTTTTAATCACACCAGCATTTAATGGAAAGTGATTTTAAATCACAGCAGCAGAAAGAGGGTTGTAATTCAGTCACAACCAGTATAAAGGGGAGTGATTTAGTGACAACAGTATTAAAGAAAGGTGATTTTTGAGAAGCATAGAGTGAAAGTGATTATTGTCACAAAAGCAGCGGGGAAGTTAATTCAGCAGGGATATGAAATTTAAGTGATTCATAGTACAAAGGCTGTCCTTATAAGTCATGGACAATATCTTTATTACAAAATAAGGTATAACATATGCAGCCTTTATGACAAACTCTTCTTATGGAGTCTATATAACAGATTCTTCAATAAAGTTTGAACATTTTATTGTGAAATTTTCAAAATTAAGCAAAGAACATGAAAGATACAATACTAGTCTACTTTAAGCCATTTCATTATGGTCACATAAATCAATGTCTAGTAACCCTTTAATATCCCTTAAATATCAAAATGTAACACCTTTTACAAAATAACCTGATAACAAACTTGAAAGCAAATTTATTGCTGTGCTGCAGCAATCTGCGTAAATAGTCACCTTATTCCCATCTTCATGCTAAAAGCATCGGCTATGTCATATTCTAATCTTCGTACTAAAGCATACTTAAGTATCACCAACTTATTCCGACCTTCATACTAAAGCATTGGCTACATTATAAATTTTTTGAAAATATGAAATCACATGAAGTATGCTCTGTTATTTCTATTGGGATGTTCTGTTGCAATATTTGTCCAGTCCACTGAAAATGCATGACTGTGAATGACTACATTTGGCTTTTCTTCCAGAAATTAAACTATTATATGAACATACACTTCAAATATTTGTAATATTGTTTAACTAAATACAATTGGAACATAAAGGGTTATAAGATATCATTTATATCTTCCTTTATAAGCAGTTTAAATAAGAAATACATTCAGCAGAACAAAACAAAAATAAAATAACACATAATAATTATATAAAAGCGGTATGAAGAGTTTCTCTTTTTAATTGGCAATGTATTTTCATATTTTCATCTACCTTGTATAAAACAAATCCCCCAAAATACGAAATGCTATCACATACTGTTTGATTTTTAAAAACACCTCACCACAGTGTGTTCAAAAAGATATGTTCAGTATAGAGCAGGAATAGTCATGAATAACAATTAGGGACTATTAATAACTTATGAAATGTCAAAAAATGTGCCACTATTTTGCTGGACTGAAAAAAATGATGTCCTAACAAAGACAATATCAACATGGCATTTTTAACTATAAAGTAAAACTTGATCATCAGAGATATTGCAAAGCTTATATATAAAGTCAAAGTAAGCGAAGCAAAATAAAGAGTTTAATATAAGCATGGCACGTTTGAAAAGTAAGTTTTCACGGTCAAATTTGAAGAAGAAAAATCTTATAAGGCTCATTTTAACTTTTACCACACAAAAAAATTTCTCGAGTAATTATGTTTTAATGTGTTTTATATATCAAGGCAGGTGATTCTCGTTTAAAGCTTTTTTACCTTTTGCATTTTGACTATTTTATGAATAATGTCAAATTACATGTACAATCCCTATCGCCAGTTACTGAGTATCAAACAATACCCGAAAGAATCAAACAATATATCGAAAGATATGGAACGAGAGGCAGGGGTCTCGCAATATTCTGAAAAAAGAATAAACATAAATTGTTTAAATCACTATTGGAAATTGAAAATCTGAGTAATATGAAACCCCCAACAAATTCTCTAAAAAAATTTTGGGGTAAAACAAAAATTTTCTAAATTTTCCCCAAAAAAAATAACATAAAATTATATGTTTTTTAGGAAAAAAAAAGAAAAATTTATGGGATGTGCCTTCCATTATATAAACTTTAAAACCTTACCCCTTTAAATAAACAAAAAAATAAATTTCTATTTTTGTGTTAAATTACAGAAAGGGGTATATAAAGAAAAACCCAAAATTTTACTGTACATGTTTTTTAAAATGACTATGTGATTTTAGAAACAAATCTAAAAAAATGTCGGGGAAAATTGGAAAAGAATAATTTTTTTTTAAATAAAATTTCGATAAAAATTTTTTGAAAAACCTTACGTTACCTATTTGTATATCATTAACAAGGTTTTAGATATTAAAATTTATTTACATTACATTGTACAATAACTTTGTTTTGTTTTTTCATTGGTTTAGAAATCTTAAAAAAAATGTTTTATAGATTTCTATTTAAGAGTACGCAATGCATCATGTTACTTTAAATCATTTACCAGGATGTAACATACATGAACATTTATAATAAACATTATATGCAGTAAGCACTAGATTGTTTTGTTTTGGTCTACAAGTATGCAAAAGAATGGAATGAAAAAAGACTAAATAAAAAAATATAAAGGTATAAAAAAAGCTTCCATTATATTTTGCACACTTAAAATAACACAAAGAAAAAAACTATAAAAATGTATATAGTATAAGAATTTAAATAAACTCATTTAAAACTATTTTATACTTTTTTCCTTTATAAAAGATATAATTCAATTCAAAGTTACAAATTGTAGGACAAATGTTAATCGAAAAGGATCAACATGGATTTCATATATGCTTTGATCTCAGCTGGCAGAATTTATGCATTTCGTCGATAAAAAAGAGGAAAACATGGATTTCGAAATCATGCTGTATTTACATACATCAATACATTTTCCTATAAGGTCACAAATCAAAAATATATGAAATATGAAATATCCCAGCGCACTGCAAAAAAGTAAAGATCAACCAACTAATTTTTTGCAATGTTTAATTCTTGTTGTAAAGAAAACAAAGAGCAGGTTTATAAATCATCTTTTCCAAAATAGTATAGATTTAATTTATTTCCGATATTGAAAAAAAATACTTAACACCCTTAAATACACATATAAATACAAAAACAAGTGAATTAAAGTACATTGCATGGATATTTCGCAGTAAAGACCACTTTATGCCAAAGTAAACATTATTCTACCCTTACTTAAAGATGAAAACATCCCCTGAAATTGTATGTATTTTATAAATGTTAGATATAAAGAGTTTAATGAATAATTTCGTTACAATGATAACACACGTTACTACCCAGACACCACAGCTTGTCTGCGTACCTTTATCAACGTGCTTAGACTAACAGAGATTTTTATCTTAGAAAATCAAAATCAAACTGTTTACCCTAATATAGCAATGAAGTTGCCAACAAAAAAACCACATCATGCTGTTTTTTTTAGAAAAATTCAAACAATAATCAACAAACAAATTCTTAAAGTACATCAGATTTACTGAAACTAATTTTACAATGAACTGCACTGTAGATTCCTAATCTCTGGACAGCTTACCAAGTAAACTGCTGTCAAGTTTCTTTGTGCAACCGTTGTTTGTATCTGTCACTTAAAACTCAAACAAGTCTCTAGATCATCATCCATTAAACAACAACAAAATCTCAGCATATAACAAATTAAAAAAATGTCTAAATGTTCTTAACAAATTATTTCTAGTTTTGTGTCGAGCATGCTTGCACATTATATCCACTTAAAGCATCTCTTGACTCAAGTTCTTTGCCATTAATTGTAACAGTGTCTATACATCCTATGAAATTGTCTTCATATTTGCTGTCTGTCATTTTGTCTGGTAGGGAATCACCACCTGAAAATGCGAGATTCATTATTGAATTAACATTAAACTTGCTGAATTTCTTAAATGGAATTACCCGGCTTCCATTTTTGAAATAACCTATAATCAAATTCAAGTAGAAAATATCGGACACCTAGATTAATTAACCTTTTACTTGCTGAATTTCTCAAATGGACTCGACCAGCTTCAATTTTTTTAACTGTCCATTATCAATTTTAAAGATATCAAGATGAAAGTAAGTTAGTCAGCCAGGCCAGACTGTATGGATGTGTTAGATGACCAGGCAATATACTGGTGGCAAATGTTTATCACTTTCAGTTCCAGCAGGGAACGGTTTAGATACAAATGGTGATGGTTGAATCGGGGGGAGTAACTTTAACCCGATTTTTCAAGATTTTTACAAAAGGGAGATTATGTTTTAAAACATTAATATCAATCCACACACTATGTCATGTCAGTTGTCATATTTATCAGTAAGTATTTATACCTATATAAATATTCCCGGCAGCGTTCAACATCTGAAGGTAACCTTCCGTATCCCCATACACAGTGTCCTCATTGTCGACTTTGAGATTACCAGAGCGACCAAGTCGTTCTACAGAGATTGTATGACTCTTCCCATCATTTACCCTTGTCCTTGACATAATCATTGCTGGACCACTGCCCATCTCATAACTTAAAATATACAGATAAAAGTGATATTGGTTTGTTCTTAAACACACTCTGCTTGTTTTTGTTAAGATGAACTGTAACATGAGATAATATTTTTGAGTCTATACACCAAATTCAAATAGAAAATTAAGTAAGTAAATTAATACTTAATCATCTAGACTTTACCACTCGGTACAGTGCTGGTGAAGTCTGGGACATGATATAATCTGACAAGCAACTGGAGATTAGGGGAGCACAAATGTTTTGTTCATCAGGTACCTCTATTTGTTTTGTTAATCATTGTAAAATGTTATTTTTGTTTGTATTAAACAGAGTAAATAATCAGCTGGCATAAGATTTTTAACAGTGCTTTAGTGACACTTTCAATGTAAGATTGTACAAAAACGACAAATATTTAATTTAAGCACTATGCTTTAAGATTTATCAACTATCAATTGAAACCCTATAAAGACCACTTAAAAGTCAGTAGTTGCGTGCGCTTTATATTATATACGAGATGAAATGTTTTTCAAAATTATTTTCTTTAATTGTTCGCTCTTTTGCACTTAAATATCAACTCTGAATTTAATTAATAAGTTAACCAAGTCACTTTAACAAGAGAAAAAATACATAATTATTGTAGTTAAGAATTAAACCAAACTATAACCGAAACACTACCTAAATTCTATATATCCTCTTTTCAGACTAATTGAGATAAAAAGTCACCAAATTCTTTTGACGTCGATTTCCCCTGTTTCCACCCCGGCCAAAATTAAAGGAAAACATTTTCTTGTGTAGTTCGTAAAGGTTTGGAAAAGGAAAGGGGGCTCCTTTTTTTGTGTCCCTTTGGGTGTGTAAAAAATGTTTAAAGGGAAATTCCCTGAAAACCATATCCCGCAAAAAGAAAACCCGTCTTCTTATAAATTTATTGCTGAAATTAAGGAACAACCCTATAGTGTGAATATGATGGAACACAAAACAGAATGTTCTCAAATTAATAAATACCGGTAAAACATGTACCCAGTTTTAAGGGAGAATATTTTAATGTTAGCTATATACCAATACTAATTGGTAGAGACATTATGCTGCCACTTACGGCAACGTCAAATACTCAGTGTATTTTGATAGTTTTCCCTATACATTGTCAATATTTGATAACTTAGAACTGTTTCCGTTGCTCTTGCACAAATTTTCAATATTTTATGTGTTGATGTTGACGACGTTGGCAATTTATATGATAATGTGTGCAGGCATTAGTTGGAAAGTACAAAAGCAACATTTGAAAGTAGTGTACTACTGGAAATTGAAAATGATTTTCTTGGAGTATGATTTAAATTAATTAAAATTGACAAAAGTTAACAAGAACTGTCGGAGGACAGCGCTGCCCGACTATTCGAAAATAGTGTCACAAGGCTGTTTCATTGAGTATAATAATGCTCACCACTATGAATACATAAAATTGTCAAAAAGGTACATACAAAGGCTTGTTATTAAGTTGTTTTTCGAGTATATCACTTCTTTATAACTATGAATGCATAAAATTGCCCCAAAAAGGCAAAAACCCTTCAATAGTTATGAAGATACTAGCTTACAAGCAAAAGTTTTACCAAGAATTTCTAAGTCAAAAAAGGGCATAATTATGCAAAAAAAGCAAATCAGTGTTGTGCAGATAATCACAGTTAACAAGTGTGTGAAGTTCCAATCCAATCCCTTTAGTAGTTATGGAGATACCAGGTTACACACAAACACTTAACCAAGATTTTTTAAGTCGAAAAGGGGGCATAATTATAAGAGAAAGCAAATCAAGGTAATAGGACCAGTACCAATAATGTAAGATAATCACAAAGAACAAGTGTATAAAGTTTTAATCCATTCCCTTTTGTAGTTATAGAGATACCAGCTTACACGCTAAAACTTAATTACGAAAAAGGGGCATTATTATGCATAAAAAGCAAATCAGAGTTATGGGACTTGTGCCAATCATGTTATTAGATAATCTCAGAGAACAAGTATGTGAAGTTTTAATCAATTCCCTTCTGTAGTTATTGAGATTCTTGTTAACACACAAAAACTTAACCAAGAATTTCTAAGTTGATAAAAGGGGATAATAATTCCAAAAAGAAAATCAGAGTTATGGCAGTTGTGCCAATCATATGAGATAATCACAGGAAACAAGTGGGTGAAGTGTGTGAAGTTTAACCAACTTAACCAAATACCTTTTAAGTAATGGCTGCTATAAGTAGTGACACAATGTAACTGTTAACCAAAATCATGGGATCACCTACCCTGAACAATCTTTTCAGTCCAGACTGACACAGACAGTATAATAATTTATTCAGAATTTGTGAACGTTCATAGTAACAAATGAGAAAATTTATTGAACTTCCACCTGCTTAATTAGTGCAATGGATTTTTCTTGCTTTGGATTTGAAACAGACCATTTTAATTTTAAGGTATTTCATTAAAACATCCTGTTCGAATTGCAAGGATGTGATAACTATTATGACTTTAAAATGTTTGGGCCGACTAACAACGTTAACTTTGGGTTTTCAGCAGGATAAGGAAATAAAACAAAGGTCGAACAGGTATAAAAGATTTTCCTTGAGTATGTTTATTACCCTACAAAAGTTCATCCCGTAGTTTTTGACTTACCATTTTCACAGTTAACTCCTGAATAACCTATAAGACAGTAGCATCTATATCCAGTATCTGTTATACCACATGGGGCGTTATTTTGGCATGGAGAATCAGTCGAACAGATATTGATCTCCGCCTCGCAGGTCTTGCCAGTGTACCGTGCATCGCAAATACATCTGTAAAACAACAAAAGAAAACAAATAACTATTGCAATATTAATACAAAATTTAATGTAATTCACAAATATATGAGATATTAAATTAAGGACTGTTTTATGAACTCTACATAATCCATGCAGTTGTATATCTCACAAACTTACTGAATTTGGTCTTCAAGTGAAGGCATTAGTAGAATTCTTTAAAAACATAAACATATTTACATTAAACACAGTGGTCATAGTAACATCTTGAGTTCTGCTCAAGCCTGTTGTAGCGGACATGGTAAGTAACATTTATCGCTACTGTCCATAAAAGGACTGAATCATACCGAGCCAGCAATATCTTTAATGAAGTGTTGTTGTGATTTATTTTAAGCTACCATTTTCTATAATTTTGTTTAAGAGTTATGGACCTTTAATTATTTTTATTTTTAAATTTTGTCTTGATTATTCTTCTTATGCCACTAATGCAAATTTAATGAAACTTTACAGGATTGATTGATAGCTCAAGTACATGTGCATATTACATGGGTTTTTCGGTAAAATGATTTTAGGCAGGGTTATAGCCCTTATATCAAAATGTGTTTTCCCTGTTAATGATTTTTGGCGAGATATGTGATCACTAATAGCTCTTGTTTCAATCTTATAAAGTATTACCTGAAGTCTGGTCCTGAACGATTTTCACATGTGGCACCATTCTTACATGGGTTACGAGCACACAGACGTCTTTCTCCACAATCAACAATGTTAGCGCTTTCGATAGCATCATTCAACAGGTCTATTTTCACATCATTCACTGTCAGCTACAATCATTTTACAAGATAAAACTTGTTCATATTATTAGTTATAAAGATTTACACAGGCAAGGGCTATATTGCAAACAACCATTTATATATGGTCATATAACCTGTCGGTCATATCTATAACACATTTATAATACTGAAAGCATTTCTTTTTAGAGAAAAAAGTGAGATTTCTCTATAAATTGACAGCAGCTTAGCATATAAAACTATAAAAAAAGTCACGATTATCCAATGAAAAGCGATGTTACAAACGTGCAGTATTATAATATATCTGTTTACTTCATTCAGTGCAAATAAGAAAACACCCATTGTGACAATGTCATACACATAATATGTATCAAAAGTAAGTTTTAAGCCGTTATCTTAGAAACAATAATTTAACATTGTATATGTTTCCCTTTTATTAATACAAAAGCAAGATTTCAGACAGACATTTAACAAAGAGAAAGAAATCGTTCCTATCGCATAAATGGTCAACAAGAAAACATATTTGCATTCTTATGACTGTATGAAACATGCTTAGCTCCTAATCCGCAAACATAGTGAAAAGGATTTACATAGTCCTGTATGTGTAACATTTTTTTTAATTCAAATACTAAGCTACTAACATTATAAGAGTATAGTCAGACAGCATGGATGTTCAGACTGGTCTGGCTCTATAGCGGTGGCCAAGGTTAATCACTTTCGGTTCAACAGGTTAAGGGTAAACAGTATATAAATGACTGTGAGCAGAAGTAAAAATATCATCACAAGAAAAGATTGTTACCCCAGGTGTTGACTGATAATGTTTTGCTGTTTCATAAAAAACCTAAATGTTATTCATTTCATTACCTAAAACAAATACGTCATTGGGACACAAGTTTCTGCAGATTTTTATTTTTCAGATTTATACTGTGAAAAAGTACTTTTACATATGTAATAGTACAAAATGTGTAGTTACATAATGCACTTGAATTAACATCAAGAATTACTCCCATTGGCCTGTGGGAAATTTACATTAAAAATAGTAAGGAAAAATAAAATAAACTGTTTCCTTATTAACATTAGGTAATTAACATGTCTTGCTTATTGTTGGACCTTTCCTCTGCTAATGTCACAGATTTCCAGGTCAAACTATAAAGAATAACATCAAACTGCATGAATGTGCAGGCTGTTCTGATTGACTCCATAGTGACTTGGTTTCAGGGTTATAGAACATTTTCCGAGTTATTTCTAAAATCATAGGATTTTCATTGGTCAGCATACATTCTGTGGCAGTTATTATCAATCAAATACCCGAGATCTATATTTGAGCCGAGAACATTACATTATAACCTAAGACATTAGCATTTATTGAATTCACACTCAAAGACAAGAAAAATCTTACCTCGGCTACACATCCAACAAAACCTTGAGTGACACCAGTATTTGATGAGATTACATCATAGGGGTCAGGTCCTCCTAGGTACAAGGGCAGTTTCAAGTTTAAGCCCACTGTACTGCCAGGTGATGTACCTAAATTTTATAAATTCAGCAAGTTAGTAATAATGCTATTGTTTCAAGGGGTTTGATATATACTTACAAATAAGCCTTTCTAAACTATTCTACTTAATAACCCATGTCTTCAAAATATAAGAAGTAATTCAATTTTCAATTACTTTAAAAGAACATAAGATGGAAATGGGAAAAAATTATTCATAGTTGAGGATAAAAGTCAATCTTCAAGTTCATACTTTACCAAATGAAAAGCTAGGATATCTGAAAACGTGGAAGATTGGAAAAAGACGATAAAGATAATTGTCAAATTTCATCATGCAACATTGTATGGGCTTAATGACCCTTGCAATTGTGACCTTCACCTTGTAGAATTTTGCTTTGATTAGATACTTATACCTATTTTTAACCACTAGCTGAGAAACATTTGAGCACTAAACTAAACCTTTGAGCACTAAACAAAATTTTACATACAACAAACTGTTGTTTTATAGTAAACTTATACAAAGAAAGTAAGTAAGTTTCAATCATTATCAAAGTTTAACCTTCAGAATGTCTTCAATAAATGTTTAAGCCTTTATATTGAAATGACAAGATATGGGATACTTTTATCACACGCTGTTAAAGTAAAAGTGATATCATGGTATTCAAGTACAAACTTGCTTGTGTAATTGACTTGCACCGATTCGAATTTGGAACTATTCATATTGGTAAGTTCATATCAATTTATTGTAGTTTGATTGTGTTGGGGGCTAAAAGCTTATTGAAACAGTCGTGAATCTGTTCCTAAACAGCCCGCACTAAATAATGAGTTTAAAGATTTTTGCTCATGGAAACAATGGCTTGCACCTGATAGGGTTTGAACCCGATCCAGACTCATATTCCCCTTTCTTTTACAAAAAACAACATAAGCCTCAGCAAAGAACTAGCATTCATTAAAACTTTTCACAGAAAAGAAATACTGCTGGACAAAGGTTATTATGTATGTCTATTTAGGTCCTTTTTTGAGATAGTTTTTAGCCATGTTAATTATCAAAGAATATGTTGCGTATGTTAGTACTTAAAGTAATATTCAACATGCAGCATACATTCTATCAAAGGCCAAAGGTAGACTTATTGGAGGGGTGCTGCTCTAATCATCAATTTATAATGATTCAACCACATGTATATAAAATGGCAGTTTTATATAATCTACAATAAGGTATTAGAAAACTTCATGGTGACAAGGCTTTCTATCAAATAAAACAAACTTGTGGAATGCTTTGATGCCATAAAATTTATACAAATTTACACACAAAATAGAAACAAAACACAATAGCCTATAAAATATTTCTACAACATAGACAATTTGACATGCAATTTCATATTCTGACTTTCAGTTGTTTTTTGATATTTTTTGTCTTATTTTGTGTAACATATAAAATGTTCAATTCCACAGTACTAAGGGTGAATAATCACAGTGAGTGAGAACAAAAACCAATCAATATGTTGCAACATGTCACAATCATACACCAGTGTAATTGTCAATCAAAGGCTTGATGCAGTTGGCCTCCATTTATTCTCAAAATATTACAAATGGACAAAATTGAATTTATTTACATAGATGTCAGGAAGTCCTGGCTTTAATTATATCATGCAATGACTGTGACCTTACATTACCATCTTTAAAAATAATAAAATAATTATACATGTATATAAAATCAAACTTTTCAAATACATAATATATGAATTTAGATATCAAACTTCTTTCATAACTTGTTATAAATATATGTCACTATACCAAAAACAATCTTATCGGTAAATCAACGAATTTGTGCCAATGTTTGTTTTGTGTTATTTTATCCAAATTCAACAATGGATGTGGAAGCTTATTGAGCTAAATACCAAATAATGTTTACATGTAACCATGTTTTATTAGTCAGTTAAAAGTTGATGTTTATAATTGCACAATTCACACAATGACGGTGTGTTTTCCAGATAATGAAGTCTTGATCCAGTAACCAGGATCCTTTTAACAAACAATATAAAAGTTAAAAAATTCTGAAAACAAAGTCATACATTGAACACTTTTTTTCAGCATTCCTTTAAATTCATGCAACTTTTCATGAAAGTGCAGATAGTGTTTTAAACAGTAAATTTTTTGTCTTGTAAACAAATAATATGATACACGATAGTATATTAAGGAACTAAAAAAAACAAGACTAAAATTAACTAAAATTTCCCCAAAAAATAATCTTTACAAAAATATTATGGTAACTAACTGTTAACCTACTGGTACCATGTTTCCGGTGAAGCGGTGTTTGCTATTCAGCCAAAACATTGAACTTACTTTGAATTTTTTCCTAAAAATGATGAATGGTTTTGTTTGTTTATTTGTTTGATTGGGTTTTACGTCAAACTGACACAGTATAGGTCATACGGCGACATTCCAAGGAAGACATCAGGTAATATTGTAGGCACGATCTGGCACCTGAGTAGAACCACCCACGTTCCGTAAGCTAGGAATGGTTTTGTCTAAGATTGAAAGATGGACAAGTCCATATAATTAAGATATTTAAAGTGGTAAGAATAATTGAAGTAGTAAATTTAGACATAGCATATATACTATTAAATGGACATTGAACGTTAATTTTATACATTTCTCAAATCATAAATTCGATTTTTTCAAAATTTTAATTATTTTAGTATTTTGTTGGCTAACATGGAGGCATGCTGCTTTATGTTTATCAACAACTTAAATATATCAATGTTTATTTTTTATGCTACTTAATGTGTCTAAATCATAACCTCCTTTATTTCTTAAATAGATTGATCCATCTTCCAAGTTTGAAACTATCCATTATCAAATTTAGGGAAATCAAGATGGAAACTTAAAATAATCAAATTGTATTGAGCTGGGTCAGACTACATGTATGTGCAGGCTGACCTGGCTCTATACCGGCGGCTTTGACAAATCACTTCCAGTTTAAGCACGTTAAGGATTCATTAAACTACCTTTACAACTGTAGAACAGCAGACATTTTTGTAGATAAAAAATGTATTAGAAAGTACCAGTAATCATTGAATTGGGACGAAAACAACAAAAAGCAAATCTAAATGCAGTTCAAAAGGAAAACAAACAGGAAAGAGAGAATGCGAAAAATTAAAAAAGCAAACCGAAACAAAAACAGACCAAATCAAAATAAAATTAAAAAGCCTGACCCCTCTCTCTTAAATCTGTTTATAAAATTTATGGACCAGTGTTTCCTTTTTCTCAAATTTTGAGAAAATTTTATCATAAATTGTTACTTTATAAAAACGTCATGTCAAAGGAGTAAAATAAAATTTTCTTAGATATAAAGGATGAATTAGACTAAAATGACATTCTTTACCTTTCTCGTATAAATATTTAAAATCTATCATGAAAGTTAATACCCCGACATTGTAATATGAAATCTGAAGTCAATCAAATTTATTGATTGTCTAACTTAAAATTTGTTCAAATAAATAAACAAACATGTTTAGCCATAAATTCATAACAATATACCAAGTTTTACTGGCCCATCATTTTTCAAAAATAACATATCAGTTAATTTTTAGATAATTATCTCATTATTTTTACTAATTATAGCTATTCAAACTGTGTTATATGGTGTTCCTTACGGAAAAGTTCTTTTTTTTTTAAATCTGGCAGCTGCCTACATATTGAGTCATTCATATATGTTTGTAATTGAAAAAAGACATCAATAAAAAATAATACTATTTTTTTATTACATTTTAAATGTGAAATCTAACTTAACTTTTCAATGTATAGTTTTGTAACCTGTAGTTTATTAAATGAATAAATGTTTCTAGTCATATTGTATTTAAAAAAATAATAATAATACATAATCAATAAAACAATGTCCACACTCACATACTTATCTTGATTAAAAAATGAAAATATAGTTCAAACTGTCCCAATGTTTGTCAAAAATATCTATCTTGTTAATAATTGTTTGGTTTCTCTCTCGGTTTGGTATTGACACTTAATATTATGCTTGGCAGCCTCTATAGACGGTCTTTTAAAATTCATTATACAAAAATATATATACTTTTTTACAATTTAAAGCAAAAGATTGGTTTCATAATCAGCATTTTGTATGCCTAAAAGAATTATATTCTTGTCAAATGCAAATGAGTATTTTCAAAAAGACCATGAATTATATCGAAAACAACTTCACCGTCCCGAAAAAGGTGTTCCAAGCTTTCAGCAAATTTGTTGCAAAAACTGCAGTTTGGATTATCTTTGTATTGTATCTTATACAAAAGTACGTTTGTGCTAAGTATTCTTTGTACAATTCTGTATTGAAACCATTGTAAATTTGTGTTTTAGTGGTGTCAAAAATAATTGAAAAAATGTATTCCATTCTTTATTTTCAAATTTAGTATTAAGTTTCTGTTCCCATTTAAGTTTACAAACAGCTGTACAGTTATTTGATTTCAATATATTATGCATTGGTTGTGAATCCTTTTCATCTTTATAAATCTGAGAGAGTAATGGTGAAATATAAGGTCTTGAAACATTTTTTAACTACTAATAAAATAACAAACACTTTTTATATATTTAACTACTGAGTTACATATGCCTTGAAAATGTAAATAATTAACACTCAAATTATAAATTTTATTGAACTCATGGATCTCATATAAATTCCTATACACCGAATACCAGCATTAAGCCATGACTTTAAAAATATACTTTTTTACCAATCAATATTTTTGGGTTATAAAATAATGGATATTTCAACCAATTTATCAGAACATGGAATATTCTTTTCACATAATTGAACAAAAGCATTTAAAGTATCTTTCCAAAATAAGTTTTTACAGGATTTCGCTATAATTTCTGGGTAATGAGAGCCACAATTTATTGTTTATTTATATCTATTAGTTAAGAAACAATATCTAGCCATTTGCAATTGCTATGATAAGTCTAATCCAAGTAGTTTTAATGCAGATATAAATGCATTTAAATCAGTCATGTCAAGACCTCCATCTTTTTTATTTTTTTTTATCAAAACGTCTTTTTTAACTTTGCATGGACCTTGCCATATAAAGTCAAAGAATAAAGTTTCTATTTGTGGAATATAAGATTTCGGAGGATTAGGTAAAGAAACAAACATTTAAGTAATTAAAGAGTGACAGTACAAGAGTTTTAATAACAACTATTCTTCCAATTGGTGTAATTATTCTTCTCTTCCACATTTTAAAAATATTTACTGCTTTTGCAATTTTAGATTTGTAGTTTAACTCTAGCATTTTTTGACAAATCTACATGAAACTTAAAGCCAAGCATGTAAAATTTTTGTTGATTCCAAGATAATTTCCATTTTGTTAGCAAAACAAATTTTTGTCCATCGGTTAGTTCGGTATGTAAATTGTATAGAAAGGCAGTGTCTAGGGTTTTAACCAGATATATATAAACTTTTAGCTAAATATAATTTAACTAGTTATATGAATATCTTCTTAGAAACATCACGATTTCCAAGCAAAGGAGCATGGAAGAGTATCTTACAGTGTAATTTATTTCAACGGAAAATTAATCTGCGGTATGAAAACTTGTGTCAAAAAATGTCATTGGAACACATCTCAAATATTTTCAACATTGGTGGTCAATGTAAATTTTGGATATACAGTAAAAACTTCCCGGCGGCAAGACTATACGGTTTCTCTGCTCTGACAATTTTAGCCAAGTTGTTTTCATTCAATAAGATTGAGGCATGCAAAAAGTGTAATTGTGTTGTTGAAAATTCGACACTACATTTATTAATGTCCTGTTCTTGTAACGAACAAATCCGTGTACGTATGTGGAAGGCAATTATATCAAATTGTGGTATAACTGCATATAAGAGACTAATTTCAACCTCTCCATAAAATCAGGTATTAAACATACTGGCCGGTGTGTATTTTGATGATAATAATTTCTTATTTCTTCCAAAAACATTTCATAAAATGATAACGTGAAAATATGTTAAAGGGTCTTACACGTGATTTCTTCATGATATGTCTCTCCCCTCTTTGTGTACAACAGAACAAGTTTTTTGTTTTCTAGTATACTTATCATACAAAATCTTGTATAATGTTGTATTGTGATTTTTATCATGTCTTTGTGATTATTCATTTCATAACATTATCTATTTTGTTCATGCGTATTTGTACCTGATGTTCTTCTGTAAATGTTATGTATTATGCATGCTGCTCTCCTATGATGGAGGTAATAAAGAATCTATCTATCCTATATTTTCAACAACCTTGAAATGTTCTCATAAAAGGACGGATTGTCGGAGTTCGGTCCCTATAACGATACTTAAGTTAATCTTATTTCTCCAACAGATAAGTCCAGGATGACATAATTTCCAAAATCATCAAGTATACTTTTATGTATTCTGTAATCTACTGACTTTGAGAAACATATTGCAACTCCCCTAGAATTTGAAGATGAACAACTTAAAAACATTCCGCATTCCATTGAGTATAAATGGTGTTAAATTGACTGTGTAGAAAATGTGTGTCTTGAAGACAGTAAATATCACATTTAAATATCACATTATAACAAATAATAATAATTTTAACTCTTAATGTTTATGACAAATGAGGATCACATTTCATACTATTAGCAGAATATCACTTTTCCATAGAAACACTGGTAACAGTGCTAAAAATAATTTTTAGAGAAAGCACTCTAAAACTGCTTAAAAAAGATAAATACAAAAACAAAGAAATCGTTGAAAGTAATAAATTTATATAATGCATATAATATATATTTCCATACATGTATGCATATAACCAAAATAAAGACTGCTTTTATAGAAAAATACCTTAAAGCTTACACAATTAGAATATATCGTTAGAGAAATTTATGTAGTTTTGAGGAAATCTGTTTGAGTTTGCATCTGATTTTCTATGGTATATATAGTATATCACTCACTTATTATGTGATTGTGAACAGCAATAAAAATATATATACGAAAATTGCCGCGTAAATTTTGACTATACCTCTACGGTAACGTTTCAATTTGTGATTGTAGTAGGTGAAGTATCGTGCCGGTTCGGCTGCGGCCGGTGCAGCTACTACAGGTGGCTGGTCATTTATCATTCCCCACAACTTCACTGCATGCATATTATTTTTATAACTTCAAAAAAATTAAACTGTTTGTAAGGTTATAAGTTCAATAACACACCTACTTTTCTATTCTACATGCCTGCTTTTAAACAATTATATCTATAAAAAAAACTATAATTAAGCAATCCTCCAAACCACAAAAAAGACTTCAAAGAAAACCTTCCATTTTCAAAGGTCTAAACTTTCCTTCTCACATGTTTTGTTTTATGATTTCTTTAAATATTTTGAAAAAAAAAATACTTTCAAAGTTTTTGCAAGATTAAAAAGAAAATATATTAAAGAATAATTAACTCCCCTTGAAAAAAATAAACCAGTACCTAAAGAATATTCATCTTTTTTACAGTCTTTACATACCTCTGGAAACATATTTGCTTATCCGCCATTTTGAAATATGAACAGAATGAGACTTTTTTTCAACACTACTCTAATAATTAAATCTTAGTACATGTGAAAAACTCCCACACTTAAATCTGTTCTTCTTTTGTAAAGGGCATAATAAATAAATGTGTTTTTCAAAATATTTTTTATCTAATAAGAACATTTTCAATAAAATAATCATTATATATTCTATCAATAAATATTATTTTGTATAAAATATCACAGACACTTGGGAGTATGGACCCCGCCCTTCTCCGCCCCTGAATATTAAAAACTAAAAGTATTGTTTATTACAAGAATAAGTTTTTAATTTGTGCTTATATTAGTATGAGACAGTTAAGTGTGTAACACATGAACAAGTTTGAATAGAATTTCATAACGTTTTAAAAAAGTCAATTTTTTTTCCAACGCTTCAATTTCCTGAAGATACCAAGCTTCGAAATGTAAACACAACTGACCTACATATATTTCAGGTATTTATGTTATCGCATGCCATTTATTTCTGGTGTAAATCAGTCGATGCATATATTCCTATAATAAATAACTGCATGTTATTATCAGATCGTACCTTTCTTCCAAGCTTTGCACATTTAATTATATTTTCATAACTGAGGCACATGCTTCTTTACGAATTCATGACCACTGGAATGTTTCCCGTAAATTACAGCGGGAAAATCGCTGGGAAAAAGAAATTCAATCGCAACTACTCGGCCCTTTCCGTCAGTCTTCTTGATTTGGTTTCTGTACTGATTAGGGGAAGTAACCGCTGCGGGGTATTGGTTCTCGGCATGAAAATGAAAGCGCAAAACAGTGCCGAAACTCATTCCAGTCATCTCACATCAAAGGAAAGCGTACGTTGTTATCTTCATGAAATTATGATATTCTAGGGACTTTTTTAAACGTGGTTAAAAAAGCGGAAAACATGTTTTATGTTCAAGACATGTGACCAGGTCGTAATAATATGCAAAAATATTTTGACGTACGGTTTGCACGATAAAAATAGGCATGGTGTATACAAGTGCGGATCAAGAAGGGAAGCCACGCACATTACCCCAAGCGTCTATGTAAAATATAATTGTATAAAAATGTAAAATCTCACCTGTGACTGGCTGTTCATTATTTACCACGAGTGTACCGTCACGATTTTTCCGTGTTGCTGTAACACGTGTCCATTCATTTATACGGATAGGATTACGACTATGGAGAACTGCTAGACCTAAAGGAAAAAATGAGACAAAAGAATGATAATATAGAAAAAATTATCATTTGATTTTTGATTTGGGTTTAAGAAACATTGACACAAATAAAGTTAATAAGGCAAGTATACAGTTTTTCTGGTGGGAAAAGACCTCAGGTGCCCCTACGTGAATTAATTAAGGCATAAGCATGCATAAAATAGAACCATCAGACATCAGTCTGAAAAAAGAAATAAATATCTATCTCTTTAGACCTCTACTATATATTTCCTAATATGTATAGCATTGACTGCAACTTGAAATGCTATTTTTAAAACCACTATTCAATTCTTCACACACGGATTCGAAATTCTTAATTAGACCGTAAAACAATGAATATTTTTTACTTCACATTATACATAAATACATATACATATTTCTATTAGCCAATTATTGCTTAAACTTCATTCTCCAGAAAGGAATTCATATTGATTCAAGTTTTAGCTTTCTACCATTATGAACAAAGGTATGACATTAAGTATGTATGTATCATTTAATGCCAATAAAATTTATGTTATGTTATAATAGCCCTGAATATGACATTTCATGCTCATTTGTCAAATTGTTTTACAGAACAAAAAACTTGCATGTTTTTTGTGTCGCCTCTACGGAGTAGTGGCGACATAATAGGGATCACTTATCCGTCGTCTGTCTGTCCGTCTGTCCGTCACAAAACTTGTCCGGACTTCTCCTCATAAACTACAGGTGCAATTTCATCCAAACTTTACACGAATGATCAGTACCAAGTCTAGTTGTGCATATTGTCAGCATTTTCCGGTTCAATGTTTTTTGTCAGAGTTATGGCCCTTTAATAATTTTTATTTTTAAAGTTTGTCCGTACTACTTCTCTTATACCACTAATGCAATTTCAATGAAACTTTACAGGATTGATCTGTAGCTCAAGTCCTTGTGCATATTGCACGGATTTTCCGGTTGAATGATTTTTGGCCGAGTTATGGCCCTTTGATAAAAAGGTGTTTTTTTCTGTGTGTTGCCAGATACACAAAAGCTTGTCCGGACTACTCCTCAAAAACTTCTGGTGCAATTTTATCAAAACTTTACAGGAATGATCAGTATCAAGTTTAGTTGTGCATATTATCAGAATTTTTCGGTTCAATAAAATTTGTTAGAGTTATGGCCCTTTAATAATTTTTATTTTTAAAGTTTGTCCGGACTACTTCTCTTATACCACTAATGCAATTTCAATGAAACTTCACAGGATTGATCTGTAGCCCAATTCCTTGCTCATATTGCATGGATTTTCCGGTTGAATGATTTTCGGCCGAGTTATGGCCCTTTGATAAAAAGGTGTTTTTTTTCTGTGTGTTGCCAGATACACAAAAGCTTGTCCCCACTACTCCTCATAAACTACTGGTGCAATTTCATCCAAACTTCACAGGAATGATCAGTATCAAGTCTAGTTGTGCACTGTTCGTGTGTCTGTCCGTCTGTCACAAAACTTGTCCGAACATGAAATTGGCCATTATGAGGCGACACATGTGATCACTCATCGCTCTTGTTTCTTACCTGAACCAGTGTCAAACCTGAACTCTAGATATCGGTCGTTTTGAACAACGGCTATGAAGTCACCAGTTCCATCTTCATCATTACCCTCATACAAGATAATACCATTACTATATGACTGAGGTTTGAATTCCAGTTGGATCTGTAAATCAAACAACGGTGCCTCTGCTGGTGGGAATGATATAAAGGATGTCCTGTTGAAGAATGGGTTGATAATGGCAATGTCTGAAGTAAAAATGAGATAAGGTATATTCATGTTAGGAAATGAAAATAAAAGAAGAAATCTTTGTCATAAAGTTATGTAAAATTTCATAAATTTAAATTTTCCTTTTTTATATTAATATCTTTTTAATTAATTATCATTAGCTTTCACTTCGCACCAATACAGTAAAGGTCATATCGTGCCGCAAGATTCCAGCTTTACTGGTGGAGATAGACCTTAGGTGCCATTTTGTGTTTTATTTCAATGGACACACAAGTAGAACCACCGATGTTCCACAAGCTAGTTAGGGATAGCTTCCTTAAAAGAAAGAATCCAAAGTCACTGTCCGATTTCTAACCTACAGTTCTAAGGTAGGTTTGAAGTCAACTACCTTAACAACTCTGCCATGACACCCCTATCATCATCAGTAATTGGATACTTGAAATAAATTAGTAGCAGCAAGTACTTCAATGTGTTCACAACTGATAAGGACAATGAAAATTGCAGACAATTATAGGCAAAATATAATTTTTCTAATGTTCTCGTTGTGTCAGTAAAAATGTATGATATTATAAGAACTTCTGTTTACTTTAAAATACACAAGATACATTCTTAGTAACGTTGACGAAATGGTCATGATGGCCCTGAAATCGTTCACCTGTATATAGGCCCCTTGGCCAAGGCTTATTCTAAACCAGGAGCTTTAATTTGTATAAACTTGTAGACACCCATTAGAAGATGTTTCATGATAAATATTTAAGCTCTAGCTCTTTTGGGTTTTTTATAAGAAGATTTTTAAGCTTTTACTATATACATTGGTAGACACTCACAAGAAGATATTTCATGCTTAGTATCTGAACTCTAGCTCTTTTGGTACTTTATAAGAAGATTTTTTAAGTTTTAAGTATACACATGTAAGAAAAATCAATGTCCCCCGGGGCGGAACCAATTTTAAGGGCCCTTATTTGTACAAACTTGGTAGAAGCTGTTTCATGCTTCATATTTAAGCTCTAGCTCAAGAAGATTTTTAAGTTTTTACTATATACAAATAAGGAAAATCAATGACCCCCTAGGGCGGGGCCAATTTTTACCTGGAATCAATTTTATTTGGACATATTTTTAAGTTGACTACCAAAGGAACATTCGTATAAAGTTTGGATGAAATTGGCAAAGTGGTTTATGAGGAGATGTCATTTAAAGTAAATTTTTACCGACGGCCGCCAGACGAAAAGCGATCACTAAAGCTCACCATGTCACTTTGCGACAGATGAGCTAAAAACTAAGAACAGTCAAATTAAAATGCTCATTTATTGGTCAATTCTAAATTTGGTTTTTTGAATTCACCAATCAGATAAGAATAAGAGCTAGTTACTTGTACTACTTATTCTTATAGAAATGAAAATATTATACATTATCACACACCCGTGCCGAATTTGCGACTCAGTAAATATGGTATGTCACGGCCGTGCATATATTTGACGTGACTCATTAGCGTTATGCAAACATAGTGTAAATACACGCTAAATGTTAGCGTTATACTAAAAGGCGAGGCAATGAAAAATGACTCTGATTTCACTTTATTTTGGGTATGTGGTAAATAGAATATTAAATTCGTGTAAGTTCATTTCTCGCCAGTGGTTCGCATAATATAATTTTATTCAACTCGCGCAATAAATTCAGTATTGAACTTACACTGATTCAATATCCTCTATGTACCAAACATCTTCATGATACTGACATAACTGTCATATTTCCTATATCATCTGCAAGGTGAAATTTCGTCCTATTTTCAGTGTTAAATATTAATCTTTTAAATGTAGAGTAGTATTAATATCAAAATTTTACATTACCTGTTTGGCAGCTCATTCCTGTCTTTCCAAGTGGACAAATACATCTAAATCCTGAACGACCCTCTAGACACCAGCCTCTTCCACATGCACCTACAACAAAAAGGTATTTTGTGAAGTATGAAAATTAATAACCATATATTTATCATCTCTTACGCTAATGTAATGCCCTGCTTGGACTACCAATGAAGCGTTTAAGTATTTTCAATAATATATTGAAAGTAATATCAGAGCATTGGCGACGTTGCCTAGTGGTTGACACGTCGGACAAGAAATCTAAGGATTGCTGGCCACGTTCAAGCCCTGTCAGAGGCAAGCCATTGTGTTCTTGAGAAAAAATGTAACACTCATTGCTTGGTTCCAGGAATGGATAAAAGTGTTTTAATAAGTTTATAGCTTCTAACACAATTAAACTATAATAAATTGGTATAAACTAGAAGTAATTTTTATTGATGTACAAGGCACTCAACAGACTACCTTTTTCTTTTTATACATCTGAAAGATGATAAAGTACATGTAACTACAACACAATAGGATTTCTAAATTTATTAATGAAACAACATTCAAAACAGCACTTTTTGTACTTCTAAATACTAGAATTATATAATATAAGGCAATTATTTACCAATACTCACAAATTTAATATCTTTTTTTTTCAATTTTAACATATTTTATTATTTAATTTGAGCAGAGCACCATCTGCTCAATAGGAAATTTACAAATATCATTTTTAAGGTACTCTGGTATGAATCTTAATAAAAACATGTCATCTACCTATTTAAGAATACCTACTAGTCTACTTGTACATATACTTTATCCTTAAATCCTTTAACTATATGATTAACCTGGGTAGCATTTTTCACTGACTTCCTCGCAATGGGTTCCCATATATCCCTGTGGGCATATACATTTAAAGCCATATTTTGTGTTAGCGACGGAACACTCCGCTCTGTTAACGCAAGGATTTCTCCTACATGTATTGTACGGCTCGATACCCTCAATATCTATAGCTTCAGCACCAAGATTCAAGTCCACGCCCTTTAGTTTAACTTCACTGACAGATCCTAATAATTTATAAAAAAGTGAAATCTAAAATTAAAAAGAAAAAAAAATATTTTCTAACTTGTAATCCTAAGGTCAGCCAGTCATTAAGTCTTTTCATTGTAGTTTATCAATATACCTCAAATATTTTTTCTCTGCATCAATGTCATTTTGTTATATCAGTATCATTATAAATAACGCATACCAATATAACCTAAAGTAGAACTTCATAAAATAATATATTAAGATCACTTTTGGGGCCTTTGTAGAAGTGGTCATATTATAGTGTCAGTCTAAATTTGGAGAGCCATGCTAGTTGTAACTATATGTTTATCTGTATCAGGTAGTTGACATTAATGATAGGAATCGTCATATCATTAAAGGGTCGGTCATAAAGTGAGACTTTACGGTACATCATTACTATTGTATATCACATTCAAAACTTATAATAAAATAATTGCTTACCTACAAATCCTTCCCTGAATCCAGTCCCTCTGGGAATATTGTCATAATTTGGCACGGAGCCAAGATACATGTAGCCTTGAAGGTCAAGGACGGTGAAGTAACCTGGTGACTGTCCTGTATATGCTGGTTCTTCATTAACAATCATAGAACCTGAAATAGACCGGATTTAAAATAAAATTATATTTGAATAATTCTTAAAAGCTTTCTTTTTTTCGGCAGAGTGAAAACTGCCTAAATTTTCCTGAAACTGGGATGTTATTTAATCATTTAAGCATTTGATGATATGGTATTAAACATTATTTTTATAATTATAAGCAATTTATTACGACCTTTTTAGAGCATGTTCTTGATATAGGAGTTTTTTTAAGACAGCTTAATTGCCAGTCACAGATTCTGCTACCATTCAAATCATCATTTATTCAAAAATCCAATAAAGAATTAAGTCAATGCAACAAAATGATCTATGAAATAAAATGTAAATAGTATGAAATATATATGAGCCGCCCTAACAAAACCAACATAGTGTGTTTGTGAGCAGCATGGATCCAGCGCATCTGCACAGTCTGATCGGGATCCATGCTGTGCTTACAAACCCTATTACAAGTAGAGAAAAGTAGCGAACATCATGGATCCTGATCAGACTGCACTATTGTGCAGGTTGGTCTTGGTCAATTCTGGTCGAAATACCATTATACTGGCTTTGTCATGGCGCTGCTCATTTATATACACACGATTCAAGTATTCTTACCCTTCTGTCGGTCTCTAGTCAGTTTAATTGTGTGCCATTGATGAAGAGGAAGTGTATTATTGCCCCTGATAATTGCTGGACCTGATCCAACATCAAAGCGGAATTCTGGATATCCTTCATTAAGTCCAAAGCAGACAAAGTCTCCGCCTCCATCCTCAAACTGGCCATTGTACAATACCATACCTATAATAGCATAAAAACACAAATGAATATACATATGTTAGTTTCACATATAAGGAACAACTATAATGCTATGATAGGTATCGATTGCTCACCAGTGACAACATAACTAGACCTATAAACCTTCGTGTATTTAGTATTTAGCACTTCCATTTTATCGGTAATTTTGACAGCCATACTATTTTGCTGGTCATTTTGACTGCAATACCATTTTATTAGTCATTCTGACTACATACCTTTAAGTTATTTTGAGTGCAATACCATTTTCTCATCTATTTTCACTACAATACCATTTTATCAGTTATTTTGACTGCAAGACCATTTTATTAGTCATTTCAATTGCAATACCATTCTTTAAGTTATTTTGAGTGAAAATCCGGCTTAAAGCGTAAGTAGCAGGAATAAATAAATTACAAACGAAAATGTTCCGTTTCAATTTGTTTTCAAGACGCAAAAGTTAGTTTCTTTTATGATTGAGTTTTGTCTGTATTAGTTTTACACAAAAGAGAATGGCTACTGTAGTAGTATTCCGTCTCCAAAGGACGGTCCTACTTACCAAAAGATCGTGACCGAATCATACAGAGAATTATAACGAACAAGTTAAAATTTCATAGCTCTATCACATTTGGCTGCGATCGAGTTACATTTGGATTTATTGTGTCTTATATTTAAACGCAATTCTTACGTGGAGTTAAAACTACAGTATAACGTCTTGGTGATCAGTAATATAAAAATAGTCCATGTATATCATTTACCTCTACAGATAGCGCATCCTGTGTTGTCGGTATACAAGTGACATAGATATTTTAGGTGTAACATAGTTGATACATGCATATTAATTTGTACCATGTAACGAAGTCTTTTAGTGCATTTACATGTCTATAAAGCTGCTATTTAAATGAAATTAGCAACAACAAAAAATTGAAAAATGAAATGTGCACACTTGTTTCCTACAGTATGATAGATACTTTTATTTCCTCCTCAAAGAAAATGTTAGTATTTTAACGGTTGATTATTTTCCTTGTTAGTTTTATACAATAGAGAATAGATTTCAAATCGTTTTAGACAAAACAATATTCGTTTTTACAAAAAAAGTGGTAACTGTTATCGTCAGCATGTTCCGGTTCAATTATAATCAGTGGACTTCTGGTCCTTCTTTTATCCAAATTTGCATGCATAACACTGGTGGCACAAATAGGCACAGGTGCTCGTCCAGTCTTGGGGTTACCCTACCTACTCCTTTAAAAGTAAATTTTTTTTTTAAATTATACATAAACCCTTTATGATATACAAATAATTAAAAAGTAGTGATAATAAATTGATCCTCTATATCTGTAAAACAACCTTGTTTTTACTGGTATATGAGGTCAATTTTTTATTTTTTATAATTATTTCGTTATCATAAAGAGTTGATTTAGGAGATTTATCTAAAAAATCATATTTAAAGGGATGGGATGATGGCACACTGGACAAGCCTTTCCTTTTAAAAGGAAACTTTATTCAGCTTTACTAGTAAACGAACACTATAAAATTATCTACTTGTATTTCATGTATATGAGAGAACGTATATAGAACCACTGACAAACAATAGACAAGCACTCTTGCATAAAATAACTCAATATTTACAGCTGCATCAGAACTGTCAGTAATAGGTATATGAAATCACACCAAAAGAAACAATGTACAATGAAATAATCACCTTCTGTAGACTCCGGTTTCAACAAGAGAAGTATATCAAAGTCGAGGTAGACATCATTTATTGCTGGGTAAGAAATGTACGAGTTCGGGTTCTGAGAAAAGTACGGTACAAGGTCGGTCACATATAGATTGACAGGTGAATCTGTTACACCGTGCTTATTCGCGGCATGACAAACATAAGTTCCTGCATCTTCTGGTCTGACACGATTAATCAACAGATCTCCGTCGAATATTCGGTAGTCACTGTTATAATAAAAAATGTATAACATTTACATAAAAAATCATGAATAATAAGTTACAAATTACAAAAACAATTTGTAGTGTAAACCAATAATAAATAAAACACTATAGCAGGGCGTCAAGTGAATTTTGGTCCAAAAAATATATGACTTACAACTGAAATATAGGACCATATTCTTAGAAATAAAGGACAAGGACAAGAAAATAAAAGAACTTTTGAACTTTAAAACCTCATCCTCTCACTACACTCTCCTTTTAAGTTACAACAGGTATAATAACTTTCAACATTTCAATTAAAGGATGCTGTTTTTATATCATATAATATGGCTTTGGTAAATATTTGTCTCAGTCCATCCAATAACAGATAGGATAGCTTTGTCCTCCTCAAACTGTAAGCGTCAGCAACTGGGCAGAGAAACATTTCTTTGAATGTGTCTGATATGCCATCATTAACCCAAACAATGATATATGATGTGGCACACTTCATTCACATTAGGTAAAGCATACTGGTAACTAAGTTTTGGTGAACCAACAGCAGTACCTGAGCTTCCTGCCTCCTAACCTGACCTGACCTTACACTCTGTGCTGTGTTGGAAGATGCACTAGGCTGTACTTAGAATGTTAATTTAGTCTGATTTTGTTAACAGAATGACTCACTTAATTTCTTGCGTTGTGATCCTTTTGCATGTTGAAGTATTTCATTTATTCCACTATTGTCATATTTGATTTCTGTCTTACACAGGGTAAACCTAACACTTTGATCTGAACAACCTTTAAAACACCATGACTGTAACTTTTGTCCATTTGAATCTTTTTCAGTTAACCACAATTCTTGAAACTTTGTTTTATCCTTAGGCATGTTTACCCTTGTTAATGATATACTATGCTTATCCTTGAGAAAAGTATTATAATCACAGAAATTTATTGAAATCCATGAAATTCTAACTTGAAAAAAAAATGAATAATGTATGAGAAGCTGCTATCTGTATTACAGGTCAAGTAAAGTTGATATTTTCTTATTAAAAAATTGCCAGTTTTTTAATGACACTATGTTCATATGGTGACCTCCTATAATGTGTAGAATTTTGAACATATCTACTTTGTGTTAAGTCAAGACCTGTTATTTAATATTTACAAGGAGACTGTGTAGCAATTATCAATATATTCTAATACGTGTATCAAATTTCAGCATAGTATATCTCGACCTGAAACAGAAAACTAATGCTACAAACAGCTTCAATTGCAAGAATGTAAATCCAGCATGTAAAATTGGACTAGCTGGGCTAGACAGGGTACCTAGAACTGAAAAAAAGATGAATTTTGAAGTAAATGTTGCATATATACAAACAGATGACAAAAGCTGCTTGTAATATACAGTACTGGTTTTGCTGCAGAATCAAACATTTATTGCTTACCCTTAAAAAAATAGGAATTATAGGAATTTTACAGAAATATAGGAATTTATAGGAAAGTTGACGCCTTGCCATAGATCTGATATCTATCTTTCTGATTAATTACATAAATATTATTGTTATTTTTTTGTTCAATGTCGCAACAACACAGTAGATCTCAGGTATCTCCTTTGTGCATAATTTCAGGCATTAGTGGGCACCTTTAGAAACATGACAGACATTCAGTAAGTTAGCTGAATAGCTTCCTAAAATGATTTGAAATTTCGCACATAAGTTGTTTGTATAGACACACATTAAATGAAGTAATAATCTCGAAAGATTATTTCAAGTCCTGTTATGTCAAGCATCCCCAACATATATCTAGCAAAACAACATAAACAAAAAGCTGGCAAATTAACATCAACAGATATCGGGTAAATCAACATATTAAGCAAACAGCTGGAAAATTAACATCCTCAAATAACAGGCAAATTAACATTAACAGATATCTGGCACATAAACATCAACAAATATCTGGTAAACCAAAACTCACAGATATCTGTCAAATCATCATAAACAAATAGCAGGGAAATTAACATGAACAGATAGCTTGCAAGTTAATATCAACATATATCTGGCAAATTAACATCAACAGGAAGCTGGCAAATAAATATCAACATATATTTGGCAAATTAACATCAACAAAAAGTTGGCAAATAAATATAAACAGATATCTGGCAAATTAACATCAACAGATTACTGGCAAATAAATAACAATACTTACCTGGGATTTCAAGAACAACAGAATTAATTTTGATGTAAACACATACCTCGGCATTTTACCCTCTTTTCTGAACCATGTGATATCAGGTGACGGATATCCAGTGGCATCACAGACAAGTTTAGCTCTGTCACCAAGAGCAGCCGTTGAAGCAGAAGGTGCCGAAATATATGGCTTAGCTGAAACTGGATGGACATTGAAAAGGGTAATCTTTTTCTAAAGGGGTAAATTGCTTTATGGTTTTTAACAAAGGAAGAGTATAATGTTTTAAAACAAGACATTTCCTGTTATACTAAATTGAGGAAAGGAATAAATGGAAGACATTTTTATCAATTTAAGATTTTTAGGAGGTATTTAAATAGAAAATCTTCAAATTCAAAGAATATGTTTCCATTATATTTGATCTTTAGAAAAGAATAGTAAAATATAATACAACAGTTGTAAAAGTTTTACTGTGCAAGGAAAAGAAAGTTTTAAAAGTTGTTTAAACATGGCATGAAAACTAGAAATGTCAAAACAATCTGACTCTGAGCTGACCTGAGTCCTTAAAATTTGACATTGATACTAAATGCCAAGTGAGCTAGGTACTAGCAGATGGGGTTCGTACCATATTCTTCTAACACATTGATGACCCAATATAACTAGGTTAGAGTGATGGTGAAATATTTTTTTATTAGTGAAAGTATTTTTCAAATTAAAAAGTAATAATCAAAGTCATGTTAACAAAAGGGTGTTCAACAGAGGATTTTTTTTCAGAAAATAACATACATGGGTAAGGTGTTGAGTATAAAAGGAAAACAATCACAACTCTTTTTAATGATTGATTTTACCAATCCTTTTAATGTCAAAGACCATATTTCAACAACAGTACAATATCAGATTACATTATCTGTAACACTTGGATTAGGAAATTTAAAAAAAAATGAAAATCAAAAATATACAAAACACAAATGACAAATGCTCCCTGATTAGCAAAAACTATATTTAGTCTCAATAACCTTGACCCAGTCAACTCCTGAGAAAATGGTGTTAGTGGTGTTGGTATCAATCCGGATCATATATATAGAGTCACTGTACCAGTGCTCAACCAGTTTTTCACAAAATCACATAAAAACTCTTTCGGAACAAAAAGTTTGCTGGAAAACTTATTTTTGGTATAAAGCTGGCTTTTTCAAACTCACTATAAGCTAAAGCGTTTTAATAACACGGATCAGAATACAATTTACCATGGAGTTGTATATAGGGTATAAAACCACTATATTTTTCCGGCAACCAAACCAGTGCTCGACCAGGTGGTTTTATCTATATCAAAACTCTTATTTTTTAAAAACAGATATGGTTTTTTATGTTCAACAATTGTATTTCAAAAATATTTTAAAACATTTATGATTTAGTGTCTACAGATGTAAATATGAGAGCAAATATGATACGAAGGAATTGCTAAGCATTGACAAATAAAGAGTTTATAAGAGTTTTGGAATTTACATATACTGGGGTGTTTGAGATTACTTATTCTCATATTTCTTTTACTTAAAACACTCTACAAACAGAGTAAAGTGTGATATTTTATGTAATATACAAATGGTCTACGCTTTTAGTGGTGTGTTCCCGATTTGTTTCCGTACAGCTGCCATATTTGTAAACATGTTCATAGCCCCTGCCTTTTATGGATAACAGGGTTTTGATGATTTTCGGGCACCTTTCTTACAGAAATTAATTGGAATCATAAGAGTAAAGGCAATTTAACAAAGTATTGTCCACATTAGCCCTAAATTATCATTATTTCAGTGTTTTAAATAGTTTCTACTGCTACTTTTATTATAGAATTGTATTTTGTACTGTTTAATTTTGTCTGCAAAATGGGCAATCTTCTACCAAACGTGGAGTACTTTTACATGGTGTAGAGGTTACATGTCAGGTACAAATAGCAAACACAAATCCCCAGGGTTTTTCCACTTTTAATGCATAAATCGTACACAAATAGAAGTATTGGTCGAGCACTGGGCTGGTCGAGCACAGGTACTGTGACTCTACATTTGTATATACAAAGGTGGCTGATTTTCATCAACTGTTGAAAAGAATTTACTTTTTACAAAAGGAATGTTAAAACAAAATAAATATTGAAAATCATAATACCATGATTGTGATTTTTGTTTCCGTTTCCTAAAGAATAGCCACTTTATTTTAGCTATTCATTTAGATTGAAGAAAAAAGTGAGTGAAAGAATAACAATAAACATAATAAAACTATATCAGAAGCAAAATTGAAGCCTAACTCTGCAATTCATTACAATTTTTAAACATTTTCTGCAATATACAAAAGGTCAATCAGGAAAGCATAGAAAAAAAAGATTTGATAAATTATAGTATATAAGCGTTTTCAGCCTTAATTTCCCTATTTACCATTATAGCCTATCCTGTTGTACCCTAGGTTTCAGAAATAAACACATGAATATATACACATGTCGTATGGTCCTTTTCAAATGTAGGAATGGTCTGTTTATGTCTGTAAGGACATAAACATACGCATTGATAAATAAATAAATAAACAAGACAACAATTTCTGGCGCAAACCAATAGAAATATTTATATCAAAGTGCATAAATACAGATCCGAAATACATAAACGATCAATGGAAATATGCATGATAATGAAACATAATGAATAACAAACAATTACCTGTAAGGATAAAACATACGCCTTGATAAATAAAAAATAAACGAGACAACAATTTCTGGCGCAAACCAATAGAAATATTATATCAAAGTGCGCATGCGTGGGGTGGATTTTCCGAGAAGTTTGTAAAAACTGAGGCCCGGCATGCAAATTATGTCAAGAATGTAATATGAGAAATTAGTTGTTTATATTGAGATGATGAAATGGAATGATATAGGAATGATATGGGATAATGGATTGTATATCGGACTGTAAACAGGACAAATACAAGAGATATATATACAAATACAAGGAACAAAATGATTCATAAAAACGATATTCAAAAACACGAATATCGACCACATGACATACTTCCCCACTTTGGGGAATGTTGCCCCGACATTCATAAAATATTAAAGAGGAAGAGCTTGAATCAGACATTGCAAGTAGTAAGCTTAGACCATAAAGTAACTAAACTATAGGTACTACATAACTAAATCTAAATACTGAAGGCAATTACAAACCTGTGAGTAAATATATAATACCCGGCAAAAATACTTTAAAACTCAAGCATGTTCCACAAAAATACCGTATGCCGCAAATCGCGAAAAATATATGTCACGCGGAAACAAAATTTTAATTTATCAGTAGAACTGTGAATTCATTGAAGAGGTGCACTCTCAACAATAAATCCTTTATTTTTAAAGTACTGTAAAGTACATTTATAAATTATCAAGGTAAAATATATGGTACATGATATAAAACATAAAACGAGACACATCAGGTACCGAACAACGCCTAACTTCAGAGGAGGGATTGGAGAACGAGTTCTGATCCGAATGTAAGTCAGAGGAAGCTGGCTTGTATAAGGACTCAGTTGTTTTGCACAAAGGCATCCCCTTAAAGGGAAGTAAAAGGTTCCTGTGCAAAACCCTGGACCTGTCCTTGCTGTTTTCCTTCTTCACCTCATAGATGGGAATTCCAGAGAGTGCGGCTGGCTGAGAGAATGGTGTATACATCTTTCTCCCATCTATCGGCAAGTTTGCGATTTCCCCGAACATCCAACATTTCGGACCAGTAACTCGATCCTCGGGCTTCAATTCCGCTCTCGGTCACGACGGAAGGTCATAGTACCGTTTATGTTTCTTTGCCTTGTTTCTTGGCCTCTCAATGTGCAAAAAAATATGCAAATTTTGAGTCTGTTCTGGAGACGCGGAGACGTAAGGAATGGTCCTTGACAGGAGATTTGTCTGGTTCGATCAATTAACGCATCGATGGCAAGCCTAGGGTGGCGACCAAACATGGATGAAGTGGGGAGAATAACCAGTAGAAGAATAGGGGAGTTAGAGTTATAGGTCATGGACAATAGCCGCGGAACATGGGCACTCTCCAATTGACCTTCTTGTCATTATTCTAGCGGGGTCACCCAACATATTCAGAGAGGCTTTTCGTTAAAGCGCCTTCAGGCCATCCCATTCCCTGTGGATGAAATACGGAGTAGTCCTGGTACTTGTCAATATTGGCCAACTTGCACAACTCCCGGGATAAACTTTCGGCTTTTCAAAATTTCGTCCTTGATTCACTATGGAACCGACTAGGAAACCATAGTGGACATAACAAGAATTCTTCAAGAGAAGATTTAGCGGTAGTATGTGCAGTTTGGTTCTTGGCAGGGAAAGCCTGACGCAAAACGAGTGAAGTGATTCGGTAAATGATCAAGATGTTTTCATAAACCACCCCGAAGATCATCTCCAGAGAAAGAAAATCCATACAGCCAATTTCCCATTGGATAACTCGAACTGAATAGATTTAACTTAGCAGTCGTTTTATCCAATGGACTTTCTCCGGATACATCTGGCGGCAGTTTCGAACCTCGTGTTTCGATATACTGCTCTAACTGAGGCCAAAAGAAACGTGAACGGAACAAGGAAATCGTTCTTGTACAACCTTGATGTCCTGCCCTCATTCATGCAAACCCTGGAAAGCTAAATCAAGCATATGCTCAGGGAGAGAACAAGCTGAGGAACAGGGTAACCATTTGAAGTACCTTTACGATAAAGAATTGAATCCTTCAAAGTAAAGGATTGCTCCATTCTTTCAGAGAAACGATCAGAACCTTGGCCGTTTCATGTGACTTTTGGCGTTCAGTTAACCTATGACCAATGTTCAAAGAGTTGAACTAAACGGGGAAAAGTGGTTGGATCATCTTGCTGCTCCTTCTTTCCAATCAATTGACTTAAGCTGCTTCCGACTTCAATCTCGTCTCTGGGATTAAGAGAAAGAACAGTTTTGATTAAAAGAAAATACATTCAACAGCTGGAAGTTGACCTGGACCTTCAGAATTGAGAAACAAAAGAGCCTTGACAGCATCTGAAAGGAAGAATGTTAGGAAATCGGGAAGAGAAGAAGCTGAAGGAATTCTAGAAAGGGTATCGGCGTCGACGTTCTCTTTACCAGCTCTGAACCGCAAGTTGATGTCATATGCAGATCAAGGAGGATAACCACCTGTGACTGGTAGCATCAAGCTTGGCAGATGAAAACACATAGAGTAAGTGGGTTATTATCTGTTCTAACTTCCACAGAAATTACCATGGAGATAATCATGGAACTTATCACAGACAGACCACTTAAGAGCCAAGAACTCTAATTTTGTGAGCAGGATAATGTCTTTCTCCCGCTCTCAAACCCCTACTGGCATAGGTAACAATAACATAGCTCCTTACCATCAGCACCAACCTGGTAAAGAACCGCTCCCAAAACCCGCTAGTACTGGCATCAAACATAAAGAAATGAAAATGGACTTATTGTATGTCAGCAAAAGCTTAAGACTGGAGGAGAAAAGAAAGTTTATCTATCAAAGCACAAAAGGCATTCTGCTTGTATCTGGACCCCAATTGAAAGGAACTTTTATAGATTTCTTTAAAGAACTTTTGTTACAAGGTGGAAATACCAATAGTTAAGGGTCCATTCAAAGGTTTGGCCGTTCTGTGGCGTAGTCTTTAATGAACCCTCCTGTAATTAACCTGAAAAACCTAAAAGCTACGCAAACTCCTTAAGACAAGAATGGTACACGGGTATGTCTTGATGTGCTATTCAATCTTCTCAGGATCTGTCTTCAACACCATCAGCACTAACAATGTGACCCAATATGGACTTGCGCTTAAGAGATTCACACCTTGGACCCTTTAAGTTTAAAAGATTGGAATTCTCAGACCGTTGAAAGGACAGACTGAAAGGCGACGGAAATGAGAATCAATAGAACAGAAAGATGATTAATGTCACTCGAGATAAAATTCCAAACAGTCACGAGGTGAAGTTCGCCCATACAACGCCCCCCACACTGGCCACCAATATCGTATGCGTCCTTTTCAAAATCGTAGGAATGGTCTGTTTATGTCTGTAAGGACATAAACATACGCTATTTGATAAAATAAATGAAATTTAACAAGAACAACACATTTCTGGTCGCAAACCAAATAGAAATTATTATATCAAAGTGCATCAAATTTACAGATCCAAAAATTACAAATAAACGATCAATGGAAATATGCATGATAATGAAAATAAATGAATAACAACAACTTACCTGTAAGGTACATAAACATACGCCCTTGATAAATAAATAAATAAACAAGGATCAACAATTTCTGGCGCAAACCATAGAAATATTTATATCAAAGTTGCGCATGCGTTGAGATGGATTTTCCGAGAAGTTGTAAAAACTGAGGCCCGGCATGCCAAATTATGGTCAGATATGTAATATGAGAAATTAAGTTGTTATCAATTGAGATGATGTAAATGGACATGATATAGGAATGATATGGGATAATGGATTGTATATCGGACTGTAAACAGACAAATACAAGAGATATATATATAAATACAAGGACAAAATGATACATAAAACGATATTCAAAAACACGAATATCGACCACATGACACACACAAGGAAAAATTGTCCTCAGACGACTTAACAGCTAATATGCTAAATATTATTTATAATACTGCACGTTTGTAACGTCGCTTTCCATTGGATAATCGTGACGTTTATATAGTTTTATATACACGGCTGTTGTCGATTCATGAAGAAATCTTACTTTTTTCTCTAAAAATGATGTTTGCTGTATTATAAATTCGTTATAAAGATTGTTGATAGGTTATATGGCCGTATATAAATGGCTGTTTGCAATATAACCCTCGCCTAGCGGCTCGGGTTATATTTACAAACAGCCGTTTATATAGGGCCATATAACCTGTCAACAATCTTTATAACTAATAATATACACTCGTCCAGCTTCATTGGAACTGTCCATTATCAGTTTTGCATGGATGTGTCAGGCTGATCCAGCTTTTTTCTGCTGGCAAAAGCTGATTATTCTAGTTTAAGAATTGTTAAGTTAAAAGATTGTACATTACAGTAAGCATGTTTTACATTATACATATACAGGTTTTTCATTGGCTTTAATATGACAACTTTATTTATTAATAGGGATTCAAATCTTTATTTTGAGATTATAAAGGTTTGTAGTGCAGGGCTATATTCAGAGTTATAAATATTTATTTTTCAGTGCTTCAAACTATTTTTTTTCAGAGCTATTAAACTTCTGAAGTGCAGGGTTACAAATATTTATATTTCAGGGTTTACATACTCATTTTTCAGGACTATAAAAAATTTGTAAATTAGGCTACAGTGCTTTAATGACTAATTTCTATAAAGTTTATATTAATCTAAAGTTAAGACTTTTTAATATAAGGGAAGAAATTCTGCATCTTTATGGCAAGACTCTCAGTCCATCATTTTCAGAAAAGAAAAAGAATTCCATTTATTATTTATCTTGGGACTAGAGTTTTTTCCTTTTTATACAGAATTCATTTTGTATGTAAAAGAACACTGATATTTCTTACATGTATACAATATATATCTTTGAAACTGACCATGCAGAGAACGGTCATGCTGAATTATGTTATAGTACGAAGACATAAGCTATAGACAAAGTCAATAATGGCAAAAAGTTTCACAGTCTATATATTGAAGATCATGCTTCATTGATGCAATGTTCAAGGCTTATGAATTGTTACAGTAATGTATCATACATGCAAGAGGGAATAATCACTTTCATATTCAATTCAACCATTCATATCATAGGAGATGTAATTATATAAACGTTGTTTCACAATCAATATATATATCAAACTTGTTTCAAACAAGGGTTGTTTTAACATTTCATCAACATCATTGCAAATATAAACTATATAAAACATTTAGCTATGATAGAGAAAATAATCTTGCTTAACATTTAAGAAATAGCCAAAACAAATTCAAAAACCCTTGTTACAAATAATATGGATAAAAATGCCTTTATTTACCTTTTACATAGAGATTAACTTTAGAGGTGATGGAACCAGCCTCATTTACAGCCCGACAGGTGTAAGTACCAGTATCTTCCACTCTGGTCTGAGGAATGATCAATATACTGTCTCCAAGAATGGCGTCTGCTGGAAGTGGTCCGTCGTCCCTTGACCATGTGATAGTCGGCAGAGGTGTTCCTAAAATATTGTATTACCTCTGAACAAATTATAGCCAATATTTCAGGCACTGTAGAGCAAAATAAAACAACAACAACACCAAAAGAAGTTTCAATAAGTTTGCCTGAAAGATGTTTTACATCTTCAGCAGTACCAGACAAATTCAACAAATACAGAAATAAAGAATTTAACTCTTTAACAAAACCTCAGTGAAATTTTAAATTGATTTTTGAAAAGAAAATGTCTAAATCTAGGGAAAAATATTTTGAATTAAAAAAAATATAAAAAGAGTAAACCCGTTAACAATACATCCATGGAAACCCTTTTCCCCAAATTGAGACTTGTATCAAACTTTTTTCCCCACGGCCATCATAAAAACCTTAATATTAAAAATTTCACAAAAACTTTTTTTAAAAAAAAGGATTGCTGGAAAATTTATGAAAAAAATTCATAAAATAACTTTAGCCTGACAAATTTATATTTTATAAAAGGTAATGGGAAAACAATTTCCCTGTTAAAAGGGCAAAAAGGAATAAAATTCCCCGAAATAGCTTTTTGGCTAAAACACATTGGAAGGATTTATGGGGTATGAAAAAGTTAATTTTATCGAATTCATAAAAGTTGAAAAAAAATTAATTATGCGAGCCTCTGTCGATCTTATATTTTACTTCAATGAGTTAAATAAATTCGTATGAAACTTTACACGAATATATATTCTATTTATCACATACCAAAAATAAAAACCAGTTTGCAATTAGTGATAAAGAAACAGTTTTCATTGACGGCCTATTATAGGTTTAACGCTAACATTTAGCATGTCTTAATACTATGTTTATATAATGCACATTGACGTCACATCAATTAATAACGGCATGGACGTGTAAGTACAATTTTTTTACGGGGTCGCAATAATAATTCGAGCTATCGAATACGTGATAAGCCTTGTTAATGCATAAATACCCAAAAATGAAAGTAAGTGAAACTCTGGAAGCAGTCCAAAAATATCTTCCTTGCAAGAGTTTCATAAAATATATCGGAAATAGCAATGACCCTAGAACTCTGTACAGCTCAAATCAAAAGGAAACTAATGTAGAATATGCCTATAAAAGAATAAATGAAGAAATGAAACATCTCATTTTAATCATTTATAATTTCAAGTTTATTTTTTTATTTCAACAGAATTTTTATTTCTGGGGTTTCAAACATTAGAAACTATGTACATAGTAGGTAACTAAGGACGCATAGTCTCTGGACGAGCCAGCACTGGAAGATGCTGAACAAAATCTATCTCAGCGTCGCTTTTGTACACCATAGATTCTTAATACATTTAGTAGTATTATATAACCATTGTTAACACAGTCAAAAAAGTTTCTGTCTGGTTTTAATTTTACCTCTGACCAAGAGTTTCTAAATTGTTCATGTATATGTATCAATAATTTATATTACATGCCGGGTTTATAATTTTGGGTATGATGTATTTATTTTAACATATAATTTATTGCGATTCATTTATTTGTATGGTAGTGATAACGTGTTTACTAAAAAAAATTCGGACAAATCCCCTATCTTCTATACATTTTAAAAATCACAGTAGAGAAATATAGCAACAGCATGGATCTGATCGGGTGTGCGGATGCGCAGGCTGGTTGGATCCATGTGGGGAAAACGCTTATTTTGGTTTTTTCGTAGCCCCTAAATTTATCTTTTCTCAGGTAGGTTTTATGTTGGACCTGTGTTGATTGGGCCCTTTAATTGTTTTTTTTCCTTTCAAAAATTTTTTGAAAATCGAAATTTAATTGAAAAGGATCCCTCCGTGTTTACATTCATGAAAATTTTTCACGGGGTATCAAAAATTTTAAAGGGTTAAAAAGTGGATGACCCCGGTTTAAAAAAAAAAAAGGTTTGTTAATAGAATGAAAGGAAAGGCGGGGCTAAATTTTTCCCCGCTAAAAAAAGAAAAGGGAATTAAACATGTCAAAAATTCAAAAAAGTTAAAAAAGAGGGAAAATCTTATTTTGCTCAAGATCCCATAAAAACGATAACTTACGTAAGAAATCCATTTTGATTTTATTTGTGAAGGAAATATTCCTTCTTTTTATCCTACTGGGGGGGGTCTTCCGTAGTCACATTTAAATTTAAAAATCCCGTTAAATCCCTGTACACATCTCGTTGTGCTCATATGATGGGGGAATGTAAAAAAAATTATATCAAAAAATGATAAAAAAAAATTTTTGTTGAAACCAAAAGTACTGAATAAACAAAAGTCCGTCCATAACTAAATAGCTTGTTAAGAGCGCAAAAACATTTTTTTTTAGATAAGAGACACGTTATAGATCAATGTTTTTAGTTCTTAATTTAGATATGGTTTAAACCGCCATTTTTATTGTATACAGAATATGCAAAAATTTATATCAAATAAAACTCTTTACCTTCGATTTCTACGAGGGCGTATCCATCTTGACTTCCGGAACTGCTTTGGACAACGCATCGGTACCTGCCAGCATCAGCTGCTGTCACTTGACGAATTTCCAAAACACCATCTCGTTCTGTTGCACTTGGGTTCATCTGAGCACCGATTCTTGACCATTCAATGTTAAAAGGTCCACTACCGGCCCCCGTGCATCGTAACTGTATGGTACCTCCGGCACGACTTGTGATACGCTGTGGTGATATTGTGAGACGTGGCGCAACTGAAACATCAATATCATTAAATGAAATTTTATAGAAATTAACTGAAAATCAATCATACATGTATAGTTATGGTAACAAGCACACCACAATAATCAAAACTGACTTCATCAGAAAAAAAGTGAGATACAAATGTATTAACATAACTCTAGTAATTATTCAATATCTGACAATTAAAAATTTACTTCTAGCTTATAGAGAGTAATCAGTATAACAAGTTCCATGTAAATAATTCTAAAAGGCACTAGTGATTTATGGAGTGGTGGGTTCAAAGCCCATCAGGGGCGACCCATTGTTTCCTTTAGCAAGACAGTTTACACTGGTTGTTAAGTACTAGATTTTTACAGAAACATAAGCAGTTGGGCAAAATATTAAAAGATTCTGATATACACATACTTTGTGTTTGGACGGATCTAAAGACTCTTCTGTTCAAGGCCAGAAACAGACTACGAAGATATTGCATACACTGACAATAAATTGATATTTTATATAGGAAACAAGAGGACAGAATAGAACTCTTGATGTAAACTTTATACCTTCCTTTAATGATATACTTAAATGCTTCCTAAGGTGTTCAGGTGCATATTTGTGTTAATCATGAAATAATTGAAACCTTTTCAATTCAAATGCAACACTCAAGTATGTCCACACAAATCTATAAAATGCATATCACTTAGTCAGTTTAAATGATTGTTGACTGTTTCGCTCGCTTTTTATTTTATATCCTCGCATATACACATGCTTACAAAATTGTTGATAATATCGCATCTTACCTGCAGGACATCTGAAAGTTGGATAGTGTCCTTTACTGCAAGTAACTGTCCCTTCACCTTTAACCACATTGCTTGACACATACAATTTGTATCCTGTTTTACATCTAACTTTTATTGAAGTCTCACTTTGTATTCTGAATTTATCACGTGCACAATTTCCATCATCATCTCTATCTAAACATACCTCTGGTGACTTTGATGGATAAAAAATACATCTTCCTGCAAAATGTTCAATATAAACTAAACCAACAAAAACTTGTTTTCTGTATTATGACGTAGAATTTGAACAATAGCTACGATTGCATAAAAATATAACCAAGAATATATTACCAAATAATTTGAAAATCTAGAAACGTAAACACCGGAAACGAAATTATGTTATAATTGTCACAAATCCGATTAATGGCCTGTATGTAAACATAACATTGTAGCAGGATGAGATGTTTTTTAGTTTTCGAATAAACCAATTTATTTTTCTTAAAATTGTGTTGGTCTTCGCATCTTTTACATTATTATGTAAATCCATTAGTATTTTCTACGTAGATTTGCCATTTATGGCGCTCATAGTTATAATTTATATGAACATTGTAAGTGTAAAATAAGTTAAGATATGTTGCTATTGACCATGTTTTTAGCACATCTACAGAAAATTGTTCGAGCGGATCAATATCTATAAAGGAAGTTTATTTTCATTTGATACGGACAGACGAACAGTAAATGATTAATACAGCTAGTTATCTGTCAACAAAAATAACTACAACAAGGTATAGAAGCGTATGGAACTTACATGCAAAAATGAAAGAATAATCATTTAGCCGGAAATTATGGAAATATGATTGACGTCATTTAGTTAATTGTCCTATCTGAAAATGTGCTAACATCTGTTAATTATCACTGAACATATACAGTGTATTGTATTTTAAACTAAACAGGATAACTCTTGGTTCAATAAGTAATAGAAATTGCATTGTATAAATCAGATTGCACAGTGTTTCAAGTTCTTTCTCTTTTGTATCTTAGGCAAATACAACACATTCCCTGTCGTCACAATATTAAACCCCGGTAAAAGTATTCAATGTACGAGCATCGCAATAATAATTTTCTATCGTTATCGTTATCGATTCCCTGTCGTCACAATAAGTAAAATGTCAATCAAAGAGCAACAGGAATCATTTTAGTTTAATAGTATGCACAGTTACAAAATGTGCACTATTCAAGGCCACATTTAATCTGATACATGTAGTTTAAGGTTTAAAAACATAATTCAAAAACGTAAAGTAATAGATAGAGCACATCTGATCAGATTGCTGAGTGCTTCTTGATGCTCTTTTTATTTTGTATCATAAGCAAAAATAATAACACGTTCCCTGTCACAATATCAAACCCAAAAAAGTAACCAATGTACGAGCATCTGATTATGACTTTCATATCATTATCTCGCAATAAGGAAACTCCAGAAAAAAGAGCCAATCAGCGAGCATGTTCCAGATAGACAGTGAGTGCTGGTAACTAGTACCTGCACTCCAGTTAACGCACTGTGGCTGTATTCAAGATTTAACTCTGACACATTTTCAGTAGAAAAGTCTCCATGCTATGATAAATATTATGTTGTTTCCATAAATTTATTGTCCATTTACACAATAACATATCATAAAATGCCCTTGTTATTGAACACAGATAAATACTGTACAGTAAACAAAATATTCTACTGTTCTTTAGAATGTGATTTTTACCGTTTAGCAATGTCTTCGCGCTATCTGCTCATATAAAAATATATCATCATATTTATATCATACAGGCATTAAAGTTAGAATTAAAATACTCTGACACGTTTTCAATAGTCAATTCTCCTAATTATAATACAATTGAAATGTTGCGGGAATCATACAAGTGTAATTTAAATACAGTTACAAAATGTGCACTATTCAATACAACAGTCAATGTAATAGTTAAAGGATAAAAAATTTAAAACGTTAAGAAATGAAAAGAGCACTGCAACACGAGGATACCTGATTTTACGAGGGGCGTACCCCCCCCCCCCCCGTGTCTAGTGTTATTTCTTATTTGTATCATAGCCAGAAAATGAAAATAATAACACGTTCCCTGTGGTTACAATATTAAACTCCAGAAAAAAGAAACCAATGTATATGATCTGAATACGACCTTTCTATCGTTGTCTTTCTCTCTCCCTGTAGTCGGAATAAGTAAACCCAAGAAAAGAAAGAGCCAGTCAACGAACATGCTCCTCTAAAAAGACAGTGAGAGCGACAACTAGTACCTGCATCCTAGTTAACGCACTGGTCATGTATTCACGATTTAATTTTGACACGTTTTCAATACTTAAGTATCCAAACTATGGAACAATATCATGTTGTTTCCATAATTGTATGGTCGATAAACTCAATCATGTATCATAAAATGCTTTTGATATTGAACCACACATGAGAACTGTACTGTAAATAGTATAGAGTATTCCAAAACAAACTATTTTGCTTTTGAAACAGACGCTCTCAGAGTATTTTCCCTTTCACGAAATTAATAATAATGATACTAAAAATCATAAAACCTACATAAGAATTTTAAATGAACATTATGAAAACTTACTTTCTACACAAATTGGAAACTTGTTCCGTTTCTTAAAATGTCCTTTCCTGCATCTCGTCTTAAATTTATGTGTGTATATATTTGAAATGTTTATATACAGTTCGTATTGGTCTGGTTTGCTACAGAACACCTCAATCTAACAAAATAAATAAACCAAATATAATAAAAAAGATATTTATTTATGACCTACTCATAAAATCAAAATGAAAATAATTAAAATTTTAGCTAAGTTTTATAATCGCCTAATAAAGACGTAAAATTGTAGAATTTGACAAAAATTAGTGTAATCTTTTACAAGTAGTCCGTTATAATTGACGGGGCTAAATTGTCTTTAATGGTACAGAAAAAAAGAAACGCCAAAAATAACAACAAAAGAAAAATAAAAATAAAAAAAAACAAAAAAACAAACAACTAATAAAAACATAAAAAAACAAAGAAGACTAGTGCCACTGAACAGTTACCATGGCATTTATATTATAAATGTAAATATGTAAAACATGTGTGGGTATTAAAACTTATTGCTCCATATATGTTATAATATCTATTTCGTTATGCGTTTTAAAAAATAATACTTTAAATTTGTCTTGCCAAAACACATTTAGTTATCCTGGTGGGAAGCGGGTATTTTTCTTATCCAATTAGATGTCAATTATGTATAAATTACAAAAGAAATTTTCACAATAACGATATTTAAAAACTTACTCTATGTTTCGAATTAATAGAATCGGTTTTAGATACAACTGGTGCCTTTAAATCCAAATTATAGTAACGAGTGCTTGGGTTGCTCGAGTGGTCAGCAAGCGAACACTTAGCTGAAATTCAAATTTTAGACTAAATACATAATATTAAACAAGTCTTAATGCATATATAAAAAGAAGTTAGCGATTGAGATTTTGTTTATTAGATAGATAAGGTGTTAGTTCGTACTGAATACGCATACATTCTGTAATAATCATTAAATAAACTGAAAGATTTATAAAAAAAGAGAATAAATACATTGATAAAGGTTTGGATAGACCAAAAATTAAGAGGAAAGTGAAGTTATATTTTTATAATTTCAAAATGAAATTATAAATGAATCAGCATTTTAATTAGCATGATAAGGAGTACGAAATCCATATCTCCTTATACGTTTTTCAATAAAGTATATAATAAAATAAACTGTGATACTTTAAACCTTTTGAATTAAACTAAATGTTAATGTTAATTAAATGTTATCAGAATAAACTAGGTGGAATGTTTCACCCTTTATTATGTCTACATAATGAATGAGTATGAATGGGTATGTCAATTGAAAAATCTTGTACTCTATAAAAACGAATTTATTTTCTTGAAATTATCAGGACCAGAAAAGTCCGGCTTCAAAGTATTTCGTAATAAAAACCGTGGAAATTCCCCTTTTGCTTTAGTCCAGGCACTGTCGACTTTGGTCTTCAAGTTGGTCTTAATATTATTAAGGCGTCGTCGTATTCTAATGGAATATATTTACAAAAACATATACAGTATAAAGAACAATCATTGGGTGCAAGTATTTCCCAATAACAGCACTTTTTTACAATTGCATTGCAAGTGAGAATTATCTTGTTTGTACATACTCGTAGCTTGAAAGAATACATGTATAAGAGTATTTAGGTAACTTTAAGGTAAAATATATTTCTCTATAAAATAGCACAATTATATTGTTACCTTAATCGTATGGTTGATTTTCGTAAAAGTTGTTAACAGAGAAAATCTCTGTTATTTAACACACATTAATATTGTATTTTAACGAAATAAATCGTCCTGGAACAAATTATAATTCTGCTATTTTCAGAAAAGTTTTTAACTGTTAAGTAAGTAATGATTTTGTGCATGCGCCATTCACTTTAAGGAAACATTTAATAAAAGCAATGCCCGTTTTACTGTCTAGCTTGTACTTTTTTAAAAGTAGAATTCTTAAAAAATAATGAAACATATAACTAAAAATCCAAGACTTTATTATGGTTTCTTTACATGTTTAATTCGAATTTCAGGTAAGTTCGAGATACCGCGTCCTTTATTTGATTCATTCATGTTTCTTTATCCGAAATTGAACTTTTGATACAATTTATTTAGAAATTGTTTTGACTAACTATTTTAAGGTTTTTTTCTAACAGCTGTACATAACAAATTATAACATATTAAAGAAAGAAAGTTACCTTCTTCACAAGATGGTTCTTTTCCGCTCCATTTTCCGTCTGATTGACACGTTCTTGTTACTGTTTGTAGTTGTGTATTTCCATTCAGATAGTATCCTTCCCAATGTTGTTAAACAAAATTATACAAAACATAACTATCTATTTCACAAGAATTTCAACCTTTAACGTTTCAAGGGGTTAAATCCCTCTTTATCAAGAAGATTGTTGTTTATATTTTTAATCACATATTGGAACGACATCGTTAGCGGTAACAATAAAAGTAACGCAAAAAAAGAAATATACAAATTATTTGTTTTATGATATACCGATATAATAAAGTAAAGTGGATCGTCAAGAAGAGAGGTTAAGTAATAAGCAGGCACAAATTGAATGTTTAATGTCAAATGTCACCGCAAGAATAATAAGTTTCGCAACTTTATCTATTGAAAAGAAAAAGGCACAGTCAAAACCTCGTATATTGACAGGCGACATCTTAACCGGCCCAAACAGGACACTCTTATAAGTTAACATTAAATGAAAATATTACAACCTTGTAAATGTACAATTTATAACCTTTTGTGTCTTCTACATATTTTTCCGTCTGTTTCTTTATACACTTAAAGTGTTTTAGCTGTAACTGGCGTAATTTGCTAAATATATAACATTTTAAAAGCAGATATATCCTTTTACTTTTAATTTTTTAATACCTATGTTAAAAACCTTTCCATTCGTTATAAAAAAATATTAAATTATTGTTTAGGTCAGTATTGATATTCTAAAACGAAATCAGCATTAGTTTTAAATTTAGATACTTGGTATGACTTGTATTAAGATACCAATACTTATTAAATCAAACTGCAATAGCTTTATTCTTTTAGGAAAACGATAAATTGCTAGTCATTTTAAGACAAACCTTTTCAATTCCCAGAAATTACTTGAATTTATATTCCCTAAAAATGAAATGCTTATTAATTCAAATAATAAAGGACAGATTTTCCCAGTGAAAAAAGAAAAGTGAAAGAAAAAAAGAAGAAAAAAGCTACATTTAACATGAGATGCAGTATCTCGTCATTATTTTAAGAGTTTAATGGTGTACCATTATTCAATGTGTTTATTGGTATCAAAGTTAATTTGTATACTGCAATATCACACTCTTCAATAAAAAGTATTTACCCCTATAACAGCTGTACTCAAGCACACTTTTATAATCATTTGCAAGCCCATCAGTCGCATCTTGAAATAATGTGCCATGTTGTATCTGAGATGGTCTTGGACAAAATATTGCTAAAATAAAAAGAAATCTGATAGCAAGATTGATAGGACAGTTAGTTGAAAACTGCAGAAAAAAACGAGTATACTTAGAATACATTTCGAACCATATTGAACGTGCATACATGTATATATGAATATGCGACTTCTTTGAAACTGCTGCGAAAGCAGTTGAAAACGTCAGATCGAAATCCCTAATGACTATTCATACAAATAATAGGCGGTTTAATATCCTCATCAGAATGGTGTGACGAACATATGGAATGTGATTCCGTGTAATAACACTGTGAATGAATTGATACTGTGATCTTTATACCTTGCGTGAATGTACAATACGCCGCTTTTCATCAAATGTGGACGGTAGCCTGAAACTTCTTTTTATTTTTTGTCGCTTTAGGTGATCTCCTTTCTAGTTTGAGAAATAATTCCGAATATTGGGAATGGCTTCATACTTAAATATATCCACTTTTAAATTATAGAACAGGGAACGAAAACGACGATAAACAGACTTTTAGAAAGAACTTGTCCATGCTGTTTTGCACAGTTCAATTTTGGAATCAATGATATTTAAACTGTACAAGAATAGGAAATTTCTAATGTAACTATGTTTTGGATAATGTAAATGCTTAACCTTTTTATACGTTCTACAAATACTCAACGTCCTATTAACCCCATTACATCACATCAACGTCTCTACCCATTTTTGAGGCCTAAAATGGTCAAAAAAACCTTATTTAGATCCCAAACACTAGTTTTCGTTAGAGAAATGGTGTTAAAAAGTGAGGTTTGAAGAGGGTCGGCAGACGCAAAAATTTTAGAATTGTAAGAGGCGGCATAAATGGCCCCAGATCGACCTTAAGGTAACATTTTACCAACGCTGAAAAGAAGCCTTTGACACCTATCTAAATTCATTGAGAAGTTGCAGCACTTTGAAATCAGTTGTGATGGGAAAATCAACGCAAAATAGAGATTTTTGACAATTTTGAGATGTTCTCTCGTTTCAGTCAATATTTTTGCCAATTTTGAACAGTATTGAAGCCTTTGTTATAATTTCATAGCAATTTGAACTTGTATTAGGAGACTTTTCAATGAAAAGAGCCATTTTTCACAAAATGCTCAGGAAGAAATGGGTTAAGTTAGCTTACACCGTTACTGATGTCATTTTCGAAGTCCCAGAATACTCAGCAAGAATTTATAGAAGTATGCTTTCGTACGTTTACGGAGCCAATTAATATCTTATTTTACAGAGAGAATTGAAAATATTTAAGATGAAATATTGACAATTCATAATTTGTAAAGGTACCTAAGACAGTACATCGAGTGATAGAGAAATCTGGAAAGTTGCTGGTGAAACATAATTCATCAAGAAAAGATACAGAAAACCAGAATGGCTAAAGACCGTTTAAAACAACAAGATTGATAATGTTGCTAACATGTTATGTATATTATGTAAAACAGATAATTGGTGTGGTGGCTGATTTGTGCTTCTTCATTTTCTCGTCCCACCGATGTCCCACCAAGCGAAATGTCGAGAATTAACAAGTTAAAATGGCGAGGACGCAGGGCGAAACACGTTAATTAGCGAGGGCGCACGGCGAAAAATAAAGATTTAATTGTTAAAACGACTGGGGCAGGGAAAAGAAACATTTATCGTTAAAAGGCGCTTATAAGTGTGTTGTTGTTCGCGCCCTGCCAAATAATTTAAAAAGCTCGTTTTTTTCGCCCCGTGCTCCTGCTATCTAACGTGTTTCGCCCCGAAAAGTCGAGAATAACAAGGTAAAAACATAGACCCGCCGGGGTGCTGAGCGAGATTTAAGAAAAAAAGGCTGTGACGCGGAGGGAAAACACGCTTATTTGCGTGGGCGTGAAATGAGGTTTAATGAATGTAAAAAACGGAGTGGGCGTGGAGCCAAAACACGGTAATAAGCGGGGGCGCAGTGTGATTAGTCGAGATTTAACAGCTAAAGCGGGGATGGCGCGGAGCGAAAACACGCTAATTAGTGGGGCACGGAGGAAGACCTTTGTCTCTTACCACTTACTCAGAATTCATATTGGATTAGAAGCCGGCCATTAATTGAGAAATTAGTATTTACTGGTTAGATTTTCGATAAAACTTGAATAGATGATATACTTCTGCGGAAAAATGTAACACATTCGGCATAAAAACAAAAGAACAAGACAGGAGATTGAATCTGAACAGCCTGATCAAGAAAAAAGTCACCAGACAGTTATACATTTTCGCTCTAAGTTATACAAAATATCAGACCTGAAGTTCAAAAACTTATTTCACAAGATCGTTCTCTCGGAAAGTGAAACTATCTTTGAAAATACATTACGATTTTCGAAGTTGTAATTAAAATAGCCATCGATGAACTTTGTAACAAACCATTATCGACAGCCAGAGATACGTGTCGTCTTTAACGCTATGGTAATCCGAATAAGCACTAGGTGGCCTGTTAAAGTTCAATCTAAAAACATTCAAAAGGATCGGGTCTGGATCGGTCATTGTGAAGTTTGTGTAATTTTTTAACATAAATAATCACACCTCCATGATTGCCTTTGCGCCTGCCTTTACGAAGAAGACAGTGAAATGTAGGATTTTTTTTAACTTTTTACTTAAAACTGAATAATCAGACCTCTGTAAAGGCGAAAATATCGAATAACTGAAGATTACGAGTTTGCATCCCTTTAAAAACTTTGACCTATTTTCATACATTCGACTTCATATACAGCTAAAGATTAAGAATCTATTGTAAATACAAAATGTAATTTTAGCAGTTAACTTTTATTAAAATGTTTTGGTTGACAAAAAGATGTCTACTAAATCGATCAGTCGTTTAATTTGGCTTTAGTAGAGAATTTATTTCTTCAAGAGTAAATCAAAGAAATAAATACATACCTTGTAAGCCGTGGTTTGAAATCTGATCATTTATCCATGTGATATATTCCGAAACTTTTGTGTAGACACCAGGATATTTTGCTTGACTACAACCTATACCCCAAGATGTAATTCCAATCACCGTGCTTTTACCGTTGACTTCACAAATAAGAGGGCCTCCCGAGTCTCCCTGGCATGCATCAGCTCTGATATCACCAGCACAAATCACCTTTTTAAAATCAATGGGGTATTTATCAATGAATCTATTACAGTCGTGCCATGGAGTTATCGGTACCTCTGCTGTCTTTAATTTCTCAGATAGTGTACCTAATGTAAAAAAATATCATGATTATGTTTGAGTTCATAGTTTTGAGTGAATATCAACAGGTTAAAAATATTCTTTATTTCATAATTATACACATTTGTATTGGTTTAATGTAATATACTATTATACTTACTAACTTGATTTACCTTTCCCCATCCTGAAACCTGACAATTAGCTTCAGATGAAAGCAGGGTAAATTCTTCAGGCAAACAAGCTGGTTGTATATAGTCATTAAATTTTATGCCATTGGATGACTTTATTTTGAGTAACGCTATATCATTGTTAGAGTAGCTCCTTTCGAATTCTGCAACGAAATGTCTGAACTTTGGTTAAATAAAAAAAGTGAATTAAAAATATTAAGTTTTTGGGAAGCTTATACTTAGAACTGCTATAAATAAAAATGGGCTACAAATGTGTAAAAGATAGATGAAAACAATATTTCTTTCAAGAACAAACATGACAATATAAAATCAAAATTATTTAATAAAGTCACTTGCAAAGAACAGTGACATCAATTTTGCTTAGTTTGGTTTATAGTGCATATCCGAAAACATTTCCATGCAACAAACGGAAAACGTGCTATAAAGACACGAATACTTACCACTGTAATTCCAGTGTCTAACAATATATTCAATATAAAATATCTTTTCATATTCTTCCTGTTTAATACGATCATGGTCTCCGACAATTACTCGTATGTCCTCAATAATAATTTTTACATTCATGCCATCGTACTTTCGCTTCAAATCACTATAATCATAAAAAAAATCGTTTTAAAGCATGTATTTTAATTCAGTTTACGTAAAATATTTTATCTATTAATATTACACATACATTGTTAATGTATGAAGTAAAGGAATTAATGAATACTGGAATCAACAGAGAAATCTAAAAGCATTTTCTTGCAAAGCGGTGTTTGTGTGAATTCGATTTTCTTTCGTTTAAAACAGCAGGGATTTTAAGTTTGCCCGTCTGTCCGTCCGTCTATCAATCCGTTAGTCTAAAAAAGCTAGAAACCAAGATAACTCAAAAGCATATGAGAGTATTTTATGAACTTGAAATGGGTTAGAACTATAAAGTTCTGGAGATTTATGGTTGTTTCTTGTTTTCTTCTCAAACACCTAATCAATCCTAGCCGAAAATATCATAATTACCCTCGATCGATAACTATAGAACGTTAACTATCTTTAGTTAATATCTATATAGAAATAAAGTTTGTGTGTGTAGTTAAAGACTCATTTATATCTTTCTTAATTGGAGGACTATTCAAATTTAAATCTATTGGGGTGAAGTGGTATTTTTATGCATCAGAGGCACTATGACACAATGGCGGCCGAGGTCAATCTCACTCGGGAGGGAGCAACCCTTGTATATATTAATGAAAATTCATCTGGTCTATTCACGAGTATTTCAGAGATACTAAAATTTCATAGAGAAAAACATGAAACATAAATATACTATTTATGTCTTCTCTCTTATATATTTAATGCGTTAGGTTAGTGCATATTTTCGAAATATATCAAAAGTTAACTGTTCCTTAACATATTATTATCACTCAACGTATAAACCTCGAGATACTAAGTGAGATTAGTTATAGCATAGAAGTATAGAGATGCAAGAGTATATCATTCATTATTGTCTTGCACAATGGAATTAAGTAAATTGGCTATAGAAAAATTGGACTTATTAGGAGGAAGATTTTTACCGTTAAGGGACCATATAAACAGAATCTAGTATACACCGGTTATATATGTATTTGCAAGTGGAAATTATAGTATATTTTCTAGATGAGCAAGTAACGTGATAAAATTATTTTGTATAGAAAGGGAGTTGCCTCGGAAGTATTTGATTTCTAAATAATTGAGTCTGCACATAAGTAATAATTGAAAAGTTCAGCATCACTCACTCTTCCCTCTTAGCAAGTTTTAATTGCATTTGAGTTGCAGATAAAATTCGATTTTAAAAGGATAAAAATGAAAGGAAAAATCAGAATTAAACATTTACTCAAAACAATGAGCAGCACTCAATATCCACTCATTATTTATAATTGTCCCACCACACCAATGATTCCATCCTTGTTTCTTTCGTTGAATCCCCACTTGCCATGGGTTCATACCATTCTTAGTCAAAAAGCCACCAGCTACCCGAAGTTGCCGTTTTCTTCTCTTTGAATGGCTCACTTTAATTTCACCTGAATGTTAAAACCGTCCAAGGTCAATTTTCAAGAGACAAATTCAGCCAAAAAAAAGAAAGCAAATATAATAAAAAAAATTACATTGAGAAATTAACAGTCATATGTCATTTGATATCAGGCGATGCTTAGATTGAATAAAAGCGCGGAGTTTAGACATTTAATTGGAAACAGGGACAATATGTTAGGAATATACATATTTGTTTTATGTAATAATATATTTTGATTCCGGCATTTTTTTTATTTTTTTAGAAAATCTATATTACAACAGGAGAATGAAAATTTGAAGACTACAAAAATGATAACTTATAATAAATGTTTTTTCAATGCGTTTACTTACCGCAAGGTAAATTCGTGGTTACAGTTGTATGTTTGGTAAATGGACCGTCAAAACATTTAACTGACACAACTTCGGAATGAATACAGTCATGGTTTCCCCATTCATTGTGTTTGCAATCAGCAAGAGAACGTTCTTCGCCACTACACTGAACGTTGTCAAGGAGAATAGGTAAAGACTCGTTAACCTCTTTAGGTTTTGAAAAGTCAGCCAAACCTTTTCTGTTAAAACATGTATAAAATAAATACTTTATTTAAAAAATGTATTTGAGCTTAAAATGCGTGTTAAGTGGGATTGACTGAAGAAGAACATTGCCAGCAATGGTAGCAAGAATATGCAGTTAAATACCTTATTGGTGATTATCTCTTTCATAAATATATATACCTTTTCGATTCTATAATATTGTTGATTCAATGTTTTGCATGGTCATCTTAACATATAAAATGTACGCTACAATCACCACTTACTTAAAGGAAAAATATCATTCTTTCAATATCATTTACTCTTTTTTTTGTAAAACGCGCAACACTGAATAATTAACTAAATCTTATAATATATTCTTAGATTTCTAAATTATTGGTGAAGTTGCATGAAATTAAATATCATCACTCTCCATTTATTAGAAAATTTTAAAACTGTGATTTTGAGATTTTTTTTGTGGTCTTCTTGGATGATGTAGATTGTTTACTGTGAAGATAAATAGTGGTTTACTTACACATATCCAAGCATTTACATGCAAACCGTGTATGACGAATCATTATTCGTCCTCATCGTCACTCCACAGATATCGCCATCGATAAACCTTTATCATTTAAAGTATAAAATGACATTTAATTGACACTCACATTACCTCACTTTAGCTATCTGTTTTCATATGCAAGTCTCGCATCAAATTGTCTTTAAAAAGGGGAGAGAAAAATTTTTTTACAAATTTCTTGTTTTTCTAAAAAAGAGTGATCCGCTTGCGCATACCTACAGTTAATGTTTTTGTCACATTATCATAACAGGAAAGTATATAAAAAAAAGGTTTCGACGACACATTACACATATAGTATAACAGTAACATAAACAACATGAGCGGTATTGTAGCCTTATGAAATCACTTTGAATAAATAAATCTCAAGAGATAGAAGCAGCAATGAATCACACACAGAGCACAAATACTATAGAAAAATAAACGCACAGAGCCCAGCAGGACACCGAGCTAAACAGAGGAGGGCACAAGGTCGAAGCAAAGATGGGTATTGTTTTTAGTTAGCCATTAAAATTAATTCATTAAGTCAAGGAATTAATGAATGATTTACATTTTTGTATATTGATATATGGAAAAGAAATATTTCCATGCGAATTCATACAAAAGTATAAGTCGTCGAAGGTAAACTGCTTTTCTTATAATGCAAACGATCTTTTTTACAAACACGCGTAAATCGCTGCGAAGGATATGGTTCGCTGTGCATGTGTACGAGTTTTAGAAAAGGCCTGAATGCTCTATCACCATTGAAAGAATACACGAAAATAAAAGGGAGAAATATCGCAATTTCGCATGAAACAATTATATATACATTTAAGAAGCAAATAAACAACCATTACGCTTCAAATTTGAGTATAAGCGTAGTACATGTATGGGAGACATTAAAGGCATCCGATCCGTTACCAAATCTAACCAAAATAAAACAACACACGTGTGACCTCGTTATACTATATAAAAGGCGGCTTTTTAAGTTTTTGAAACCATAACTATGTCCGCACATATATCACTATCCAAATCATTTCATGTGAGGAAAACAAAACTTTATAGTAATATAGAGTAATTTCTTTAAAACAAACTTTTTTCCTAGTTTTTAAAAATCAACAAATTGTAGAAATCAAAACGCAAATAAAACTTAGATGTTTTTTTTGACCAGTGTTTATGCAATAGCTTACACCGATTGCGATTTGTCCTAAAATCGACGAACTTCCAGTTAATCCCACCTTTTAGATGAAGACAACGTGTGTTTATCACAGAAAACTATTAAGGCTCATGGTCAGAATGATATTCAAAGATCTCGGTTATATTCAAGAAAGTTGCACACTCAACTTAATATTATATACTTGGAGATTAAAGTGTCCAAGCTGATGTATGTAAAATGGCTATGTATACACTGATAGAGAGATGTGTTGTTATTGTTTATCAAACTTCGTAAATATAAGTCACATGATGTCATTTGCTGCTAGTTTAAATCACATTTCGATATTTATATCAAACCAATAAAACTATATTATTAGACGTTGTGCTGTCTGCCTCGCTAGCGGAGAGACAATTAGGACATGGTAAACTAGGCAAATATTTGATATCGCCTTCTGAGAGAATAAAAAACAATATATTCATAATATTATAATACATACTCACCTGCATATCAATATTTCATTACTGATATATTAATTACAGACAAACAAAAGCATGGACATTACGCACCCATGTAGCTATAAGACATCAGTGACATTTCTTTTACATTTTAACAGTTAATAGAAAACTAGACTTTCACAAGTCTGAAACAGTAAAGTTTTCACAAAATTAATTAATCTTTTTAAACTGAAGGATTTTTTTAAAACAAAATTAACAACCCCCCCCCCCCCAACATTATTTTCTATAGTCGCCATCTAACATTTCCTTTGTCAAATACAGGTGTAAAAATAACCTTACCAAGTGCAATTGGGCATTCTGATATCGCCTTATTCCATTTACCACTATCACACGTTAGCTGGGAATTGAATGTACAATTCCAATTGGTTGAGACGAGATTTAAAATTGTTTTGTCCGGAAACGATGTACGGGTCATGTTGACAGGACGTGTGTTGTCTTTGTTCATTACACCAAATAAGTATTCATTAACATATGGTTTCGGACATTCCTCTGAAATATTTTTATAATGTTATTTGTTGTGGTAAAAAAATAACAAAAATCCTAAACATTTTTAAAAAAATATTATGTGCTTATTATATAGGTAAGAATAAAGTTGTATTTGTATGTTTTATGCATGATTATTAAAAACTGATAAAGTGTTTAGAATTATGTTTCTCTTTCCTTCTGTCTTATCTTTGACAATGGTAAGGTTTTGATAATAAAGGAATCGGCAAAAATCTCACTGTAATTCTTATGCAGTGATATGTTTATTTGTCTGTGTATGTATTGATTTGCTAGTAACACCTTTTTGAAAGCAAGGTCTAACTGAAATATCCTCAGGTTTTCCTTTACAGTAACACTGGCAATATTTTCCAAGAAATCCATCTTCCGGACATTCGACTTTAGTGGAACAGATATCTACAAGTAAAAGAAGTTGTTTCATGTTTACAAAAATTGATGAACATTATTCAGTAACAAAATATTGCAGTCACATTAAAAATAACTCTCAATAAATGACTGTTATTGTATTACTCAGTAGTAATGTGCATCCTAAGCTGTTTTAAAAAATGTTCTGGTTCCACGTAACATTCTCTTTAAAAGTTGAATCAAGTCAAAATCTCTCTAGATACACAAATAATAAAATTGTGGCTCTTTTACTTTGTCTAGAAATACTTAAGTTCAACACGACTAATATAGAAAAATATTTCAGTAATATTATAACATTTTAATAATAAAGTAAGTTTGTCAATATAGATTCAAGATTTGTATGGGTACAAACATAAGTGGTTTTGCCATAGTTCTGCCATTACACAAAGATAATGGCAGTGTTATGAACATACAACATGTAATCAGTTTCAAACATCAATTTTAGTACAAAGTGATATAAAACATCTAGATACGAGAAAAGTAATATTACAGTCATGAATTAAATATTAAGACAATAATAATTTATGTTTGAAATGAGTTGGAATAAGCTACCAGTTGTTTCTCTAGCTAAAAATGCATAGCAAATAAATTTAGATAATTTCTTTATAACATTCTGTTGTGAGTTATTCATTAACATTTTAAATTTTCGTACATAAGAAATGCTCTTTTTTAATAATATATGATATATAATTAGTTACAAGTTTAACATGTATAATAAATTGACGTTTTACTCTCCATAGGTATCTTTCACAAAACAAGCTAAAATATATCAACATGAGTACATCACTCTGTTTTTATGAATGTAATCACATTGTATATAGTCAGTTAAGATTAAAATATATTCAGTCAAATTGAAAACACTTTATTCAACCTACTGAGATAAAACTATATTCAGCCAAATCAGATAACACAATTACCAGCCAAATGAGTAACACTTTATTCAACCAAACCAAATAACACTATTTTCAGCCAAACCTCAGACTTACCTGCACATTTATACATAGCATTCAAAGTTTTATAATCTTGAAAGCTCGGATGCTTGACCATTCCTATTCTAGTTTGAAATGCTGGATCTCTGGTTTTTATTGTGATAAGTTTTGCAGACTTATTCTTTGAGTAAAACTGAAAAAAAAGAGTAGGATATTAAATATACACTTTCTTATTTAGAACCATATAGAGCATTTAATGTATGTGGTAGGTTGTGTAGTTGAATGCTTGTAACAGAAATAGAAATTATTATAATGTAACAGAGATAACCTCGATTAACCTTTTGATCACCCTAGAAATAAAACTTGTTTAAGCAAACAATTATCTGTAGTGGTTTTCCTTGACCAGATAAAGCAAATTCAATGAGTTTTGACACTTTATATTTATCTTATTAGCCATGAATATCCATAAACATTCAAATCAATACCTGAAATATTTTGAAAACAAGAATAAGATCACAAATATTCACTGAGACAAACACACATTTGGTAGAGCTATTAGACTTTAACACTACGCCTTTCTTTATAGCAAAGTATGATTATTCAAAATTCTATTAAAATCGTTCAAAATTAAATGAGACACTACAGTTCGTCAAAAAGTCGACATACAAAAAGAACACTGGACGTATTTCGGTCTCATCACTTCCCATTACGTATTTCATTTTTAAATATGTGCATGTAAATATATATGTATGGTCAATCATGGTAGTAAATATTTTTTACGTAAAAGTACTGTTATGTTAGCGAGAAACTATAGACGCGTCAATGAAAAGTAAATCCTTCTTAATTAGAAATAAGACAAAAACAATATTATATCAGTGTAGCTCGCATCCAACTCTTTCAAAATAAAACAAGCAGATTCGTTCGCCGAGTACTGGTTATTACTTACACAACAACTGGAGACATATGGCTTTATTTATATAAATTTATCACGGCAAGCAAATTTCCTTTTCGTATTGATGGTTCCCATCAAGTATTGTTGAAATCAATCCAGCAGTTGAAACAAAGAGCATACTGCATAACCTATCATTGGCCATAACTCTATTTTGAAGGGTCTGAACAAGGCAAAGATATGCGCATGTCCTCTTGGTATTGACTGTTCAATTCCGTGTAAAAAAGCGAGAAAACGATTATTGCTCTAAAGTATGCATAGCTAATCAAGGGCCAAACTCTGTGTTGAAGGGTCTGAACAAAGCAGGCAACCAACGATATGCACATTTCCAATTGGTATTACTAGTTCCCATAAAGTTTTGTTGAATTCCAGACAGTACTTTCAGAGAAATAATGCAGAAACGGTTATTGCTCTATATGCATACAACATAACTAATCAAGGGCCATAACTCTGTCTTGATGGTGTCTGACAGGAACAAGGCGATGATATGCGCATCTCCTAATGGTATTGCTGGTTCCCATAAAAAAATCCTTGAATTCCAGCCAACAGTTGCAGAGAAATTGCGCGGAAAATGAATTATTGCTCTACATGCATACTGCGTAACAAATCAAGAGCCATTATTCTTAGTTAAAGGGTCTGACGGAACAATGCATTGAATATTGCGCATCTTCTCTTGAGTTGATGGTTCCACTAAAGTTTCCTTGTATTTCAGCCAGAAGTTTAAAAAATAGTAGATCGCGGAAACCGATTATCTGACTTCTATATGCCTATTTAGTGATTAATCAAGGGTCTAATAACTCTAAATGTTGAAGTATTGACCAGAACAAGAATGCCTGGATAGAGTCAATATCTCTTGTATGTACTACAGATGGGATAGCTCCGATAACTTTAATGTCGTATATGGAATATGTATTTCCATACAGATCACAAGTAGTTTAGCAGCTAGAAGTAAACAATAGCTGAATACGAACGCAAGAAATTTTTATGTGTGATTAATCTACTAATTATCTGCTTTCCTTGAATACTAGCACAAAATATGTAATTTAATGCTGCGATTATACACCTTAATCATGGTCCATAACTCACTGAAGTTAAGGAGCACGTAGACAAGATAATGAATATGCCCATCTTTGAACTTTCATTTTGTCTTGGTATTGATGGTTTCCATAAAGTTTCCTTGAATTCCAGCCAGGAGTTGCACGAGAAATAGCACGGAAACGATTTTTTGCTCTATATGCATACTGCATAACTAATCATGGGCCGTTAATCTGAGTTAAAGGTTCTGTTCGGAACAAGGCTACGATATGAGCATTTCTTATTGGTATTGAAGGTTTCCATAAAGTTTCATTGAATTCCAGCCAGTATTTGCAGAGAAATATCGCGGAAATTATTATTGGTCTATATGCATACTGAATCACTCATCAAGGGCAATAACTTTGAGTTTAAAGGTCTGGCTGGAACAAGGCGACGATATACGTACCACCTCTTGGTATTGAAGTTTCCCATAAAGTTTCTTTGAATTCCAGCAAGTAGTTGCAGAGAACTAGCGCGGAGAGGAAATTCGGACGGACGGACGGAAAAGCGAATGGACGGACGGACAACACCAAAACAATATCCTCCTCCCGATTCTATCGGCAGGGGAGAATTAATGCTGAACCTCAGGCATCCACTCGTGCCTGAACTCATGCACGGAGGAACAAGTGATGTCTTTAACATGTATGAATGATATAACGACAATTACTTTGCAAGTTAATGATAATATCAAATTCATAGAAATCATTTTGATATGTACTGGGGAAACATACGAAAAAAGTAAAATGTCAAAAATTAAAAAAAAAGTTTTTTTTTTTTACAAATTGCACTAAATGCAATTTACCTATTTGTAGAAAAGTGTCTGATTTTCTTTTCAATGATATTTCTTACATAAAGAAAATAGTTTTATCACATGAGTTTTGAACCGAAAATAAAAAAAACGAATGACATATCACAATTTACTTTTTATTTTTTAAATTTCAAATAAAATGATTATCTATATTATCTATTATTATTATACTATTTAATATATATCTGATCCAATCATAAAGAAAAGTGTATACTTACATACTGTCCGTAGTGCATTATACTTAAATAATCATAATCATGATTAAAATCCGTATATTCTGGTTTCTGTTTCATGAAGGATTTATTATATCCAGGTTCAATATTTTCGTAGTGTATTTCAATATAATTATCTCTGTCCCAACGATTATGTTCATGATAGAATCCCAGGGCGTGTCCTATCTCATGAAGAATTATCTCTGGCTGAAAGAAAAAAATTTGTGCATTGTAGGCATATGTAAGGAATTTTTATCGTTAAGCACCATAGAAATACTTAAAAAATTGCCGAAAAGAAATATTTATTTGGATTTAATCAGAGTCGCGAACAAATGTATTGCAATATATAGAGATATAATAGTTCATCATAATCCTTACTCATTAGAAAATTTTATCATGCGTTTTATATCGATACAAAGTATAAAAACAGTTACCAACATATTATATACAAATGTACGTGCTAAATACCGCACCAGTACCTTACTTTTTATCTGTCACAATCGATAGAATGTCTAGCTAAATGGTTTGATAAATGTGTCATGTTACTCTCATTACCAACAGTTAAGTTCCATGTTTGACAACGTACAATATTTGCTAATAGAATACCTCAAAGCACTTTTCCCCAAGAGAAATTATCTGAGGTCCTTGTTTCATTCCAACCTCTGACGCACACCTATTTAAATAGTTAAAGTCCACCATTTTACTCAATGACAAAAAATCAATGTAAAGTAAACTTACTTTATAACAGTAATACATAATATTGACCAACGTCAAATATCTATTTGAAAACTATGTACAACTACTGATACATGAACCAAAATATAAACAAGTACGAATGTACAGAATAGCATGAAAACATTTTTGAAAATGTTTTCGATAAAGTAAAAAAAAAATTTTGCCATCTATAGGAAGAGAAACAACTCGGGTCATATACAAACTATAGAAAATAACTAACAATGTCAAACTTATGAAAAATAACCTTGACACTTAAAAAACTGACAGTGCAAGATCAAAGAACGAAAAGGATTGTTTTTCTAGTAGAATTGTAAGTATTAAACCATATCAAGATGACAATGACGATTGGCAAGTTAGCAGTTAAAGTAAAATATATAATTTCAAAATCCTATCATTCAATTATTCACAGATAAAAACAAAGAAAAAATGCTGAAAAACGCACGTCAACCAGCAAGTGTTGAATTGAGTTGAACAAGTATGTTTATTAATTTAAGTAAGCCCTGGTCAAAACATGTAAATGATCCTTGAGACACAGACAAAATAGAAATGCATATCAACATTTATATACTTACAAGTTATGGTATCCAAGTTTGAACACTATTCTGTTGTACACCTGTTTGTTTTCATAGAAGTTAAGGCATGAGTACTGTTCCCACAGAGGAATTGCCCGTCGGATAGCTAGTTCCTGTCGTTCATCTGAATTGAAATGAATCATCTACTAAAATTTCGATCATAATTAAATAGCCTCGGTCAAAAACAAGCTGAAAATATAAGGCGTTAGAAAAAAAGTGTCAATAATTCTAAAATGTCAAATTAAGGCTTGATTCACTTAGACATTCATATTAATAAGTTAAAGTACAATGCACACGTTCATTATTATTTGCAATTGTATTATGTCCCAAAAGCTCAGACAAAATTTCGGCATGTCTCTGTCAAATTTATGTTATTGATTTAAAATGCGTTGCAAAAAATAAATTTCAGACGCTAACTGTTTGCTTTTGAAAACTATTTGTAAATTTTAGGCTTTGAACAAGTTAGTGTATATTTAGCTGATTCACTTCAGGGGAAAAAATCCGATCTATTTCGGTCAACATTCAAGCAACGAAATCACTCAAATCTCAAAACAATATGTAATGGAAATTCTGATTTAGACCCCCCCCCCCCCAAGTCGGTGAATTACTGAACAGACACGACAGCACAAACGATAATGATTTCAAGAAATAGAAATGTTAATCATGTTATATAATTTAATCATTTTATTATTCTGATGTTTTCTATGTTAGAAATATAGATTAAAAAATTCTAAACATATGTTGTATATCATAAATGGAAAACTAGTCAACAATAAAAACAGAACCTACCAATACCATTGCCAATTTCAAATGGAATATTTCTCTGCCAACGTGTTGATTCGTCTTTGTCAACAATTGCACGGTAACGCTCCTGACTAGATGGACATAAATGAAATGAAGATTTCAATTTTTTTCTCAAAATAAACTGCTCTTATATAACTACGCATATCTAACACAAACTATTTTAAACATTAAAATGATCATCGCACATATTCTTTTGTCATCGATATATTGATAATGATTTATTGTCCTATATGTACCTACCACTTGTTTGCTGACATACATTTTAGTCGCGGTATTGTATATGTAGAAAAATCCAACATAGTCGCTTACTTCTACTTTCGTCAGTATTGGACTCCTATTTTTGTCATCCTTTTACAACTTCAATGTAATTGTTATTTAATACTGAGTATGTCTGCTACATTTGAGGATGATGCCCGTGCCAATTAAAGTTACACCAGTTAAAGCGATGATTATTATGATTATGTTGCTGCTGCTGATGATTATGGAGATGCTACTAATGAATGGATTTGTTGTAAATATTTAAGTTCATAAGCAAAAAAAATATATGCAGTCGAACCTGTGAAGGAAGAGACAAATTGTGAATTATAAAACAAGGAGGTAAATTCATTTCATTTAATAAATGAAGGTTTATCAAAATGTGACCATTATGCAGGGTAATCTTTATTTTGATATCGTTTTTAGGAAGGTCGTGTTTTTTTTACATAGGTTTAACTTTTCGGAAATTGATTGGGTCAAACCAAATGTGAATATATGACACAAACCATAAAATGTGTTCACGATGATCACGACAGCATCATGGTTGATGTTTTTATGTATATTAACGATATATCGATTTCGTGTAATATACGGTGAACAGTAAGTGCAGATTTGCAGAGACGAAAAGCCCTTTTACAAATCCGACCAGAAAACTTTAACTACGGAAATGAATATTGTTATGAATAAACTCTGTAGCGTATTTATTTTAGTTAGTGTTACATTCTTACCTGTCAATTTTATCTACGATCATATCGAGCTCCATCAAAGCACTTTCATTGTCGATGACATACTCTGAAATTAATCAAAAGTTTCGTTAATAAAAAATTAATTCATAACTTGATTTTGTGATATGTAACAATTTATCTCATTTATTGATAAATAATTCTAGTCATTACAAAGTAAATATTTTGATTAAAGTTTGTATTATAAATACAGTGATAACGCACAAAGGGCAAATTGCAAATAATAATTTTATACTTTATCAGACAAACAGAACTTGTAGAAGATTATTGAATGATATTTTCATGTAGTCGTAGTTTTGTTGCTTTTGGGGTTTTAAGTCACATTGACAATGTGATTGTGACACAGCGACTCTTCAGCTTTACTGGTGGAGGAAGATAATAGGTGCCCCTCCGTCCAACATTCCTGAATAGCTTCCTTACATGAAAAAATCCAATATTTCTGGGGAATTATAACTCATAGCGGTTAAGGGTAAATGATTTTAAGTTAGAAATCTGAAATATTCTTCAATATAATGCAATGCTTTTCTTGAAAATATCTTTTTAAATGTAATTTATATTACATTTTATTTTATTTCATACCTTTGTTACCATTATTTTCAGCCAGTATTTGGTCAATTGAAATATCTCTCGTGACAATCTGTCTCCAATGTGTCATGAATACCTGAAAATATAAAACCGCTAAGTTTGTGGACTTAAAGATGAGCACATCAATCGCAAACTCTTGTCGATGGAGAAATAAAGTTTAAAAAAAAAAGCTGTTAAGACAGCAGTTGCTCTGGAAACGCCACAGAACTTCGGTCGTTGACCGCAAGTGTGAATGTTATTGAGAAAAGAAAGCCTATGAGAAGAGTAGAACACAGGCAACGGCAAAAACCGGCAAACACACTCAACAAAACGTAAAATGTATTCACTGTGTTAAAGACAATCATGCATCCTTCAAATGCCGATTTAAGAATGCCATTTGTCATGCATGTAATGCACAGGGACACATAAAAGTATTTGTCTGAAAGCACGTGCACCAGACGTACATGCTACGACGAACGACGACGCTCCTGTTATGATTAAAAATTCTGTGACCAAAGAATCACCATTACAACAGAGATAGACGACAGACCCACACGAATGGAATTCGTGGCTTAACTTTTTTCTGATGTCGTGAAAATAGTTCGAGAAGTGTTTTGCAAAAATGACACTTTGGTAGTAACTGGTAATCCTGAGAAAATGCCATTATCAAATGAACATAATCAAAGATCAGATCAAATGTCAAGGAAAGAAGATATCCATTGAGAGAACGCAAACCACCTAATCGTTTTTCATACTGAGTTTACTACGTAACTGTATAAACATTCGAGAGCGTGCAGACAGTTAATGTGCTATCTAATTAGGCATTACACTACTATGTTGTAAAATACTGAATGAACTCCTGTGAACTGTAATAAAAAGTCAAAGGTGAATAAAGAACAATAAGTAGACAGTTTGATCCGGTTAATGAATGAATTAATCTGGAATATCCAAATATTTCATCAGTATTAATTGCATAATAATGGACTAAAATGTTAAGAAGGGAGAACTGTTGTATATAACTCTGTTATTCATTGGTCAAAATGTGTCACTAATAAGCCCCACATACTAATCTTATCAAGGCATGTCACGTTTTGTATCAAATAAGCAATATGGACGTGATACCACTCAATAGAAAAATATAATAGTTTTCATCTACCGTAAAGACATAACTGAAAAGATGTATTGCACATATTTCTAACAAGTATATTCTGTCTTTCATTTACGCTAACATATTTCTTTTCTTTATATGTGATTCCATGTACTTAATGGGAAAATATTACGTATGTATGTATTTTCAGAAAAAGAGAAAAGTTTGTTAATCTTGAACGATTGAAATTTTGGAGCAAATTAACTAATTCAAACCGGAGTGAAAACTTATTATGAAAGATGGCCTTATTTACTGTGACATAGCAAATACGCCATACACAATACAAGTGTTTATAACCACAATGCTACAATTTGGTAAATGCCCATGTGTTTTTTTTTTTTTTTTTTTTTTCAGATATAGATAATTACCATTTAAACTAAATGCCAGTGTTTGTTTGTTGTTTTTTATTTTGCGATATTTCAGTCATAAACGATTATCATTGTGTATTTTGCCATATTTCAGTCATAAATGGTTATCTTTTAACATTTTCGAAGAAAACAACAACAAACGCATTAAAAAACCTTCAATAATTATATAAATATAATTGCACACGATAGTTAACTATGTCTTATTAAATCACTTACCGGAAGAAAATAAACCCATAATGAACACATCTTGAGAATTAAACTCGATTTGTAATGTGCAAACATTGCATGTTATTTCGAAAGATATCAATCTGCTTGTAATCAAGTGTTTCAACAAGAAGTTTCCTATTACTTATGTATGCAATTAAGTACGTAGTATAAGTAAAACTTGTTTAACAATATTCTATTTCAGTCATTATTTTCCCCAAGTTTATCATGACACTTATACTCGTAAATTAAGACTAATTTATCACAAGGATAAGAGGCAAAACAAAACAGTTTTTTATATTCATGTTGTTAAATAATATTTTTGCAAAATATGACTTTGGCAGACATAATTTCAAAACATTAATCTCAGTACTTTAGCGATTAAAATCGCAGTGTAATTTTATTACTCCGGAATATCGGGAGATTAACCTGAATTGATAAATTGCAAAACTACATTCTTGAAGATGTAACTCTGTATATTCTAAAGTACGCTCATGATATATCAGAAAAAATTTGTTAAAGTAATAATTACAACAAAATTACGTGAAAATTGCAGACTTGGCTTCAATAAGATAATTAAACAATGTTATATCCCTCATAACAGCTGGCACCGGCTGGAGCGGAAACTGAAATTTCAACACTTAAATGTTTTGGAATATAGAGTAAAATAGCTCAGGAATACTTTAAGCGTAAAGCAGCATGCCTCCAGATACATGTTGATTGTCAAGAAAATTTTGATTGTGTATTTAAAAAACATTGCAACGTAAACAAAGAAAGTAATTTACACATTGCAAAGGGCACTTAAATCCATGTAAATTACCAAAAAGAGTTCAGAAAATGCAAAAATAGCCCTTACTGCGTTATTTAAAGCAGTAGAAATATGTTGATAAAGTCTGTCATAAATGGCTTGAATCGTGAATATTTTTTACTTTTCTTAAAATTATAGTACAGTTTTCTCACGTTTGATTTTCTTGAAATATTTTTTTCTCATCTGGAGGCATGCAACTTTAGCGTAATGTGAATCGCACTTCTTTATCTGAAAGGTTATTAACGATCGCATTTCTCCGGAAAATCGGAAGAAGAAAATGTGGCTCTGGAATATCGGAAAATTGAAATAGCATTTCGGAAAACTGGATGTAGAACGCCGGAATACCGGAAATACATATAGTATAATAAAATAATAAAATAACATTACACTGCATAAATGTATTTAAAGTTAACAGTAAATGCAGCTAAATATTTATTCTGTTATTGTATAAGGATAAATATTTATTCACAAGTGACACTATACAAATCAACTTTATGTCAAGGCGCAACTGCTATCTATATGTATATGTTTGTATAATATGTGGTTTGATATGGCTGTTAAAACATTCGATACCTAATAAATATCTAATTATAAGTAAAACTATTAAAATTATTATTACTATATCGCCTGAAATAAATTAAGCATGGTAAGGAACTGGGTCGCATTTGCTTATTTATGTTGCGGATGTCTGGTGAACAAACATATAATATTAAAAGTTCTCAAACAATGATAAGTAGATAACGTACATGCACTAGTTGGATAAATCGTATCGCTTGCGGAAATGAACCTCTTATTGACCTTCATAAAGTACTCTACAGTCAACCCCTTGAGCTACTTACCTACAGTATGACTGTAAATGGCGTTTCATTAGAAAGTAAAGTTTCGAATAATAAAGCCTAAATATTGAAAACATTTAAAAGAACGTTTAAAGAATAAACACACCCGGATTTGTCTATTGTGTATTTGGACATTTCTGCTGTTCATTAAGCATTCCTTTGGCTGAAAACATTACTAATCATTGCATAATCAAAATACAAATTTCACAAACGTGTTAATTAAAGCATTTTAATGTAGGAAACAACAGTGTTGAAAGTATACAAATATTTCTAAGATACTAAACCACTATAAAATTTCCAACTGAACTAGATTACAAAAAAAACTTATAAAAATCTCGCAGGAGTCCATTTAATATTTCAGGATCATTTAGATTTTAGAAATAATATCGGTTTCAGTGGTGTCTATTGGCTATTTTGCACAGATTTGAAGTTCTTATGCGCATTAATTGACCATTATTTTAAGAAAAGATTATGTAAATGTATATTATTTAGTTCTGATCCTAACAAAAATCTTACTGTTTGCAAAAGCACATTAGAAAGAAACAAAAGCTGTGATTGAACAGTGACTTATGTCCCCGAAAGGAAACTTTGACAAAAAATCCGCAATATATGCCAAAATACCGGCAGTAAACGCTCGACCGCCTTTGATAAATATAATTCCTGAAATGTTATTTGTTCCATTAGAAGTTTAGAAGAAATATTTTAAACAAATTTTACTAAAATAAGATTTTACTATGTACAGCTCTGGCGGCCATTTTGTGCAGTAGAGAAGAGGAATGTGCCGGCGATTTTATTGAAATCTCTCCAGCAGTTTGACCTTCAAAGGCCGGATATTTAGTTCTGGCGGCCATTTTGTGCAGCCAAGCGATATGCACAACTAGGGATGGTTCTGATCACTCCTGTAAAGTTTTGTTGAAATCCCGCCAGCAATTGAACTGTGAAAGCCGGTGGTGGTGGTGGTGTTGGTAGTTTCTACTCCGGATCACGGCAGTAAGCCACACTGAATTCACCAGAGCACAGTTCAACCACCGCATCGTTCCTGGGCAGGCTGTCAAGCAGTTTACCAGTACTAGTTGCCTTCACTTTCGCAAGGAACTAAAACTTATGTACAGAGCAGAGGTACTGTGCGCATAACCGTAGAAAGGCTTTCATGATCAATCACATCGAAAGTGACCTGCGCCATCCGGGAATCGAATCCGGGTCGACCGATTTACTGTCCAACGCTCTACCAATTGAGCTAACCGAAGCAGGACAAGATTTTTCTATTTATAGCTCTGGTGGACATTTTGTGAAGCCAAGCGGAACGTGTGGGAGATATGCACAAACAGAGATGGTACTTACTACTCCTGTGAAGTTAACCGGACGGCTCCTGTGAAAGTCGACAAGATTTTTCTATTTATAGCTCTTGTGGCCATTTCGTCAAGCCAAGCGAAACGTGTAGGAGATATGCACAAATAGAGATGGTACTTATCACTCCTGTGAAGTTTCACTGAAATTCTGATGAACGGAAGGACGGACAAAGTCATTAATTCTATTTACCGCCGTTCGGGGGCATAAAAATATAAAAAAAACAATTGCCTCATTCGCATGATACATAATGTGATGTTTCCACCTCAGTGTTGCTTAAGAACAAATATTATTTTCTATATATTTAATTTTATACAGCAAGAGGTCGGTTTGTAAAATTATATGGATAATTTTGTATTGCAGTCATTAAACATGTATACAACTGTATAAGAAACTAAAAAAATAATATTTTGTAAAAGTTGTTGTTTTCATTTGTAAATTAGAAATCTGATCTTTTTTTCTTGACTAGTAAGTACATATGTATTTTGTATAAGTGTATAAAGTATGTATTCATTTTAAAACTTCTTTACCAATTGGAATACGTATAACAATTTAAACACGGATTATCAACAATTGAAAGCTATTTATATCAGAATTAAATTGTTTAAGATGTGTTTGAATACCATAATGCATTATGTTATAATCAATAAAGCTAAGCTTTTGTCAAATTATAGATTCTAATTTATTCAAAATAATCCTATTGCCAGATGAATCACATTCTCCAAAATTACGTCATTTACTCATATTAAATTTTTGAATTGTGTGCTTAGGATGGCGTCATTGCGTCGTTTTTAATAAAGGTGTAAATTCATTCGCGACTGTAAAACAATGGTTACGGATTTAATGACATCAATTTCATTAAATAAAATATGTTAGGATTCAATCCTCGGGACAAATATTCCAATCCGAACCCCCTTCACTTTCACTTGTTCATATTTAATCATTCTTTCATGTTAAAAAAAAAACAACAAATATTTAGCAATACATCCAAGAACGCAATGATCTAATATTATCTCGATACTGATGTGATTTTAAGATTTTGTCCGATTATATTTCAATCCCTAATCAATATATTAAATTGACAATTGATCAAGTTGTTTATAAAAAAATGTTTTTATCGCTTTTATTTCAAACAAAAAAGTCTTGGTGAGCATATTGGCGAAGTTTTGTCAAACATTTCTCTAGTTATGTCAAGACAGCTAAGAAAATATTTAGATAACAACCTATTTGACACCTTTAATTCCATACTTTCAACGGAAAATAATAAATGACGACGAGTCATCTGTCATGAAAATGCTTATACTGGGTGATACTATGGAAAGCATTGGCTTTCTTATATTGTTCTTTTCACGTGGTTTATAAGGAGGTTCACTTCGACTATATATGAATTGAAAACACCTTATTTAAACCGAACCGGAAACCATTATTTTAATCCACAGTTAAAAAAAATTGCAAACATATTTCTTATAAAAAAAAGTAAAAATTATAGGACTTTCTTATGTATATTTCTTGTCAGATAATACAGAAATGAATTTTATCAGGGGACGGATGTTACATTTTTGGGGAGACGAATGTTACACTAGATGTTTTAAGGTCATAGTTCATACTTTTTTGGTTTTATTTTAAAGTAATAAAATTTCTAAGAGTATTATGCTTGTATAGTACAATATATGTACAATAATTGAACAAATTATGAGAAAAATGTAGAAATATACACAACAATTATGGAGTTTTGTACTTTTTGCGTTTCAAAATGAAAAGTTGCATTGACTATGTTTTCTTCCAGTTATCTTACATTTGAAGGAGCATTGAACTGTTTAGAATAGAATAAGAACATTGCTATTAGATGAAATAAAAGAATCCGTGTTTCCAGATTATGCATTAACACTGTGTTAAAGAAAGAATGTCATACCAACGGTACTTTTCTATACATGAAATCATTTACAAAATACTTTAGTTAAATAATAATAAGATTTATCTTTGTAAAAGACATGATACACTGTGAAGTAAATAAGCAGGTTTCATATTGAAACATATGCAAGCTTGAGTTTCTCATTACATGTACTAAATACATAAATTATAAACAATTAATAATTTTCATTAAAATTATAAGATTTTAAATTGTTGTAATTAAGGTAGACCATGGG